ACTGTTGGAATTACTGGTAGCCGTAACAGGCTGATACTGGGTGATTGGTCAAAAGTATGTCTTCTTTCTCAATTGATTGATTACAAAAACAACTTGTATCACTAGTGCTTTGTAGCTCTACTTCCGTAGACTACTCTTTCCTCATGTTGTGTTCTGTTCCGTTGTATTGGTGTACCCTAGTGAATAAGAGGAGGTAGTGGAGGAGTAAGTTTAGCAATTCGTTTACGAAAAGTTATAATCTTAGAATAAGCAAAAGAATCAGAATCAGAATCAGATATCAGATATTCCTTTCCACAATGGGTAATGTAATTGTTGCTACACTTTATAGCTAGCAAGAGGGAAAAAGTTTCAATAGCTGACGAAGGGGTCACCTTTCTGTCAGTTCTGTCGTATAGCCAAAAATGGATAAGGAATTCCAGGGGAATTTTTTATGCTACTTATATATACCTAATAAGCCAAAATTTAGTGTGAACTTTGTTTAAATCGACTGCCATCGTAAATGGATCCCTTTTGGGAAGTTCTTAAAGGAAAAAGAAAACCAGAGAAAAAAAGGAGAAGGTTTTTCTTTTTTTGTTTTTTTGTTAATTTTAATTTTAATTTTAATTTTGGCCAAGTGGCTTATTTTTTGAAAAAATCTTTTTGTTTTATGTTTTGTGTAATATTTGTTTTTTGATACACTAGTACAAATCAAATAGAAGAATGCTGAAGGTATGAGTCAGGTAGAGTTCTACCTACTTGTATCACTCAACCACCCCTCAATTCTGGTGCTTTAAATTTTCATTTATCCCAATTTTAATCGCATTATATATATATATATATATATATGAAGAGTAATACTGTATATACATAAACTTTTCCAAAAAAACAAAAAAAAGATATAGCCACATCTTTCCAATCCTTCTATCTATCCTAAACTCAACCTTCTCTCTCTATCTCTATTTCAAAAATCCTTTATTTAGAATATCCACAATTTGTAAATCGCAACTTTTGATGTATTCAGAATTATTCAATTTCGAATGCAAGTTTGTTGATGATGATAAAGGTGGCATGGGTAAATTAGCAACTTGAGCAAATTGGAATAACGGAGTGGCATTAGTGGTGGTATTTGGAGGTGTTGCATAGTTGGCAGGGTAGGTTGTTGCTGTTGTGGTTGTTGAAGTTTTTGAAGGTTGTTGAGGTTGTTGTAATTGCTGTTGTGGTTGCTGTGATTGTTGTGGTTGCTGTGATTGTTGTGGTGGCGTGTTGGTTATTGATGGGTATTGAGCCTTTGATGGAAGTCCCATGGTAGAAGAAGAAACTGGATAAGATGTTGAACCTATCGGTGGTGGACCCGTCGATTCTCCAGTAGGTGCCACTGGTGGTTGATGACTATAGTTGTTTAAGGAGCCTTGAAGATGGGTATAAGTGGGAACTTGTTGTACAAGTGGTTGTACCTGTGATGGTGGTAGCTGCAGTTGTTGATGCAAGTGGTGGGGTTGAGGTTGTATGGATGAGTCAATTGTAGATGTCTGCTGATTAGTACTTGCAATTAAATTATTTGCTGCTGTTGTTGTTGCGACAACGGTGGAATTAGGTGTTGATGCTGCTGTATCTGAATCTTCTCCATCGTCTTCTCCTTCTTTTGTAGTCAACTCATCTTTAAAATCCTGATTTGTTGTTGACAATGGCGTAGTACTGCTACTAGAAATGGTCGTAGTACCAGATCGTAAACTTTTAGGAATGGCATGTAAAGTATGAGAAGGATAAATCTCATTTGAAAGGGATAATTTTTTCAATTTGGGGTCATGTGAAGGTATACATACAATATAGCCATCTTCATAATCTTCTTCTCCCTCTTCTCCTGTGCATGATACTGGAGATTCCAATGATGCTGCTGACTGTGGTTGTTGCTGTTGCTGCTGCTGCTGCTGTTGCAGTAGTTGTAATTTACGTTTCTTCAACACTTTGTCACCATCAGCATAATCTTTAGTCATAGCTTCTCCGGTGCCATTTAGTTTTTGATAGTTGGGATTGTTCAATTGATAATACGAAATTAAATGATATCGTTGTCCATCTTTAGTAGCCAAACTAAAAGACTGTTTAATTAATCCATTTGGTTGTGGTTTTTTAGTCAATTTATTAATTTCTCGATATTGTAAAAAGTTTCCAAAAATGACTTTTGATGCTGACCATAATTTCCCATCAGTCCATCGTTTCATGCCACTTTTAGTTTCATTCCAAATAAATATGCAATTTGGTTTGATAAACTTCAGTCGTTCAAATGAAGTTAATCGACGATCTATCGTTGGGAGTATATTGAGTCGACACGCTTCTAGAAGTAAAAGGGCGTCGTATAAAGTGTAAACTCTTCCAAAATAAGTGACTAAATTCACCGTGGCAGCGGCAGAAGGAGGAGGAGGAGGTGTTGTTGTTGTTGATGCTGGTGTATTTGTCGTTGGTGCTGTTGTTGGTAGTGATGTCATTGTTGTTACTGTGTTGGATATAGTAGGTGGGGGTGAGTTATTCCAAGTTTGTTTATAAGGAAGGTGGTAATTAGACATTTCTTTGACTTAATTGTGAGGGTGAAAGGGAGGGAGTGATAAGAAAGTGGTTAAACAAAGAAACTTTGTTAACTGTCTAATGTGTGTGTGTGTGTGTGTATGTGTATATATATTTATATGTGAATCTAAAAAGTTAGATGGTAGTTTCTAGTGTAGTAGTACTTGTAGTAGTAGTAGTAGTAGTAGTAGTAGTAATACTAATAATAATAATATTAGTGAATGAATGTATATATCTATATGAGAAAAGAAAGAGTGAAAAAGAAAAGGGTATATTTTTTGTTTTTCAAAAGCATATTTCGATTCTTTGAACAATATTTAGACACTCAATAAATAGAGTATAATATAAAACATAAAATATATTATAATATATAATTAACTAATATATATTATGCGTAAAGCATAAACATACATATATTAAATATATATTAAATATATATTATAGTATATACAACAATAGTACATACAGCTATTTAAATTTAAATTAAAATTTAAATTAAAATTTAAATTAAAATTAAAGTTAAAGTTAAAGTATTGTGTAATAATTTTTTTTAGTTTTATATTTTATTTTTTAATAAACAATAAGTAAAATATGGAAAAGGATGAGTGTTTTTAGTGTAAAAAATAGGAATATACAGACGAATAACCCCAACAAAGCAAAGGGAAATAGCAGCAATAGTGGTAGTAGTTATTGCTATTGTTGTTGTTGTCGTCGTCGTAGTTGGAGGTGACTAATCCTACAAACACAAATAAACAATAACGACGTTAATATCAAGTGAAAGACCACATTTGACCCGCCTCATTGTGTGGAGCAAAACAGAAATATACAAATTACAACATTAGCATATGGTAGTAGGTAGAATAGACGTAATTGTTTTCTTTTGAAAAAGAGAAAGTGTCTGTATATCTATATGTATCGTATAAGGAGTTTATATGATTTGTCCATATGGTTTATTTGAAGTGGTCTGAAATTTTCAACAACGAACCAGACAACAGACAACGAAATAGATTACCAAAAAAAATTAAAAATTCTTTTTTCTTTTTCTTTTGTTGCAAAAATTGTTATTTTTATTTTTCTTCCTTTCATAATTCCTTAAAATTTCTTTTTTTCTCTCTTTCTCTCTCTCTTGTTGTTAGTATATCCACTGTTATTCTATTAATAAAGTCGTGTAAATGTGTAAATCAATTGATTAGTAGTGTACTTGACTAATTGCACCCTATAATTGAAATTCACGGTTTTGTTTCTTTTTTTTTTACTTTTATTTTTATATTTTTAAATCTTTCCCTTTCTCAATTTTGTGTCTGATTCTTTATGGTTGTCTGATTGTCCGTCTGATTTGTCTAACATCTGTGTTTGTTGCTATTTCTTTTTCACTTTTGTTTTCGTATTATATACATATATATATATATACATTTTCCTGTGACGGTTGAAGTACACTTGTCAATTTGGAAAGATAGTGCGTCACTTAATGATCCTTTTATACTCTCCAAGAAGAAGAAGTTACAATCTATAACTGCTAATACTTCTATATATCTCTAAACAGAGGAGTGTGAAAAAACTTTTTTGTTACTCAATTGCTGTCTGTCTGTCCGTCTGTCTGTCCGTCTGTCTGTGTCTTTCGTGTTCGTGTTGTTGTTCCTATTCCCTATTCTCATTTTCCGTTGTTTCCATTGTTTATTTCTTTTTTTTTCTATTTTTCTTTAATAAATTACCCTTGTTGATGAAAGTGCGGAGTTAAAATAAAGAAAATTAGAAATTAAAAAAGAAAAGGAAATTGTTTGTGTGTGCGTAATTACCGCTTTGTGTAATTTAATGTTTAATGTTTAATTTTTTTATTTGTTGTTTGTTGCTAACAGTTTGCCCATATGCAGCTATACATACGTATGCATAGACAGACATCAAATAGCATTGTCTGTATAAACCTTCTGGTTCTTTTCTTTTCCAATCTTTTCTTTCTGTTTTTTCTTTCTGCTATTTTTACATTTATTGTCAATTAAATGCTACCACTACTCACTTTTTATTTGCTGATCCCTTCAAGTAACCATTACTATATTTACTATTCAAAATTCTCTCTATTCCATTTTATTGTTCTTTCTTCCTTTTTTGTGATTCAAACGAACAAAAAACATAAATAACTTTAAATTTAATTCTTTTTTTTAAAAATTCTTGTATATTTTTTTTTGTTTAGAAAAATTAGCTGAGAAAGGGATTGTTTTATTGTGTTTTTGTATCTTCACTCTTGGGCAAAGGAATTGAAATTCACCGACACACACACACATACACACACACATATGAGACACGCCCTAATGCACAGACACCCTACTGTATAAACTGCAATATTACCCAGCCTCTTTTACCGCGTTCCCTGAATACTTTCTTACTAGCTACTGCAGGTGGGGATCCGATTTTATTGGTAAGCTTTTATTCTTACAAAAAACCAAACGCGTGTACAGCACAATTTAAAGTTTTGTTTCTCTTTCTTTTTAAATTTAAAATTGTTTTAGGAAATGATTTATGCTTAGTGGAACCCCTTTGCTTGACTTATTCTCTAAGTGTGAAGAAAGAAAGTACAAGCAGTAGACTAAATAAAAAAAGCAAGAGGAGGAGGGTCACTAGTGTGTAAAACTAAGGAGAACTAACTAAATTTTTTGAATTAACCGAGAAGAGGGGAAGCGAGGGGAAGTTGAACTTTTGATGTCATAGATCATAAGAACAAGTAGTCCCAATATTGTTATAGAGTATTTTCAAGAAGGTGGTGACAGAAGGAGAGGTGTCAAGCCCACTCCAAATTTCTTCTGATCTGGTTAATAGAGGAAGTGTACGTATTTGCGTCTGTCGTGCTTTTGTTTCAACTTCAAATGCGACACTTCTAACCTTACTATCTACAAATCTAAAGGTAAAAATAGCCATGCTACATCAGGTTTATGTAAGTTGCTTTTGCAAGCTATAGCTTACTCTTGACGTTGCAATATACGTTTTATTCACTGTAAGTCATGAACAGCGCTTTGCAACGTAGGTAAGTTTCAAGACTTTTTGGTGTCAAAACTGCACCAAAAAATTGGCTTGTAGATCCACGATAAAGAGGATACCACTAATTTACTGTGGGCAACACGCATCAGCAAGTTACAACAACTACAGAATTCTATTCATCATGAGACAACTTCATCTACAGACCAAAGTATCCATTTCCTTTGGTTGCAAGAAATTGCGACACTAAAAAAAGGAAGGAAAAAAGAAAACGTGAGACACGACAAATATAAAATTCACGACTGAAACTTTGGGTCTCTAGAACGCGATCTGAGGAAGCAGATTCAACGACACTAACTGTGTAATGGAGTAATTACCTTAGTATCAACACTCTCCGTATCTTCTATATCTTACCATCATTATAGTAAGTGATATTCCTCTCCCCTCTTATCCATTCGCACACTCTCCAGTTTGACAACTGTCTCTCCCTCCCTCCCCTGACGCGATCAATCACAAATTTTTCTTTTTTATTCTTTTAATGTTTTTTTTTTTATGACCCACCAAAACAGATCAAAAAAGAAAAATTAAACAGAAAAAATTAACACCTCACACTATAATACCAAACTTCAATCACCACAACCTCCAACTATGGACTATTCAATCGACAACAACGTATCCTCATCCGCATTAAGAAAGAGGAAGATCCTCAAGAAATCCATCAACTTCTCCGTTATGATTGTTGGTGAAAGTGGATCAGGCAGATCAACATTAATTAATACGTTATGTGGTGGTAATTCGATTGTCCCTACTTCGTCAACGATAAATGAAGATCCATTCACCAGAAAATTGACTTTGAGACACGAGAATGTTGAGTTGGAGGATAATGATGGACACAAGATTAGTCTCAATATTATTGATACTCCCAATTTTGCTAATCAAATTAATTGTGGTGAGGATTTTCGAATTATTGTTGATTTCATTCGTCATCAGTTTGATGAAGTGTTATTAGAAGAGTCTAGAGTTAAGCGTAACCCGAGGTTTAAGGATGGAAGAATTCACATTTTGATTTATCTTGTTAACCCCACTGGACATGGTTTATCAGAAATTGATGTCAAATTTTTAAAACATGTCAACAACTTGGTTAATATAATACCAGTTATTGCTAAAGCTGATTCATTAACCAGAGATGAATTGCAATTAAACAAGAGATTGATTTTAGAGGATCTAAACAATTATGAGATCAATTACTATCGATTCAATGAATATGAATATGAACAAGATTATATCGATGATGAAATTATTGAATACAACAAGTATTTAAACTCATTATTACCATTTGCTATTATTGGAGCTAACGAATATAAAAAGAATCTTGATCATTCATTATCAAGTAAAAAGAATGGAGAAACAGGAGCAAGTCATGACGAAGAGGAAGATGATGCCGAGGATATTATAAAGTTACGGGTTTTAAATAAAGATTTAAAGCCAATCAATATTGATAATCCTGACATCAATGATTTTACAATCTTGAAAAACGTATTGTTGATTACTCATTTAAATGAGTTTAAAGATATCACCCATGACCAAATTTATGAAAACTACAGAACTGAAGCTTTATCAGGTAAGCAATTCCACTACATGAATAACAACAATTCCGAGGACGGTGGAAGTTATAATACATACAACAGTAGTAATAACAATATAGCCGAAAGTCAGTATGGCAATGGCACTAATGGTCATGACACTAATGGAAGTGGAATACATAATTCTCATCATCATCATAACTCCCATGGATCTCATTTCGATAAATCAATCAATAGCAATGGGAATGGAACCGACATTGGTGCTACTGGTGGCGGAGGAGGATCTGATTACTTGTTGAAAGAAGAGCAAATCAAATTGGAAGAGGAACGATTAAAGAAATTTGAAGAACGTGTTCATCAAGATTTGATTACAAAGAGACAAGAGCTATTAGATCGAGAAAATGAATTGAAAGAAATTGAAAAAAGATTGCTTGCTGAAGGGTTGAAATTGAATGAACATGGTGAGGTTGTCAAGGTTGAGGACTAGTAGAATGGGAGTGTAGCTATTCTTTTTTGCTAAATAGTTTTTATAGTTTCTATACAACTTTTCCAATTCCAAGTAAAAGCTTCTTAGTCGCTTCTGGATCCACGAGCTTTATCTCAAAAAAACCGACTAAAACTTGATCTGTAGATCCACAGGTAACTAATTGACCGTGAAAGATTTGGAGAGCTTGCTGGCTTAGAAAAGCTGTAGATTTGTCTCAAATACGGGTTGAGAGGAAGAAAGAGGAGACGAGAAAGCGAAAGGTGAATTATAACCGCTTTAAAAACTCTTTATTATACCGTAAATTATAAAACAGTAAAAACATCCAAAAGCAAAGAACCATTTACATAGTACTGATTCAAAATGAACTCAGTAGTTTCAGTGGTGGTGCCGGCGATGCTGTTGAAGTTGGAATTAATGACGCCACCGAAGTAGACGAAGCTCTAGGCATATTTAGGTACCAAATGAGTATTTCTTGGAGTACATCTACCATTGATCAAAGGAATTATCTTTTACGATTGTATACCACAAATTGCATGATTATCTTCAGACTATTGAATGATTAAGACAGTTTTCAAAATACCAAAGTGGTCATATGAATCATCTTCAGTTAGTCTTTGATTGCCTCAAAAAAGCATCACTTGGTTTGAGATTTGATGGGTTGAGAGCTCTTTCAAGGACAATATTAGTTCATTGCCAATGAAAATAAAAACGCGTCTCAACTCCTATCCCCACCACTTGAATCCATCATAGTTGACTACATTTGTCTCCTGATGAATTAACAAGGAAGGCTGTATTTCAATGCCATTGAGTGTAAGTAGATATATCGCGAGCCTGATACAGACTGAAAGTTCATTTTCAGGAGAACATTATGATACCACCAATGTCAATACGAAAGGAAGCAGAAGCGGAATGGAAACGGATTTTCATGCGAAGGTTGTTCTGTCGTGGTTTTTTATTTTCTTATTTTTTTATTTTTTTATATTTTTATTTTCACTCTCTGTTACACCATAGATAAGATGGTACCAATTGTTTTAATTGTAGTCGCTAGCAAGGTCGTGTAATAACATACCACACGCTACATTTACCATTAATGGAGACATACTATAATTTAACCTTGTTAGGAAGGTGGTGAAGCTGTTACGCGTTGGTGAATTTAGGTGGCTATGTGAGATTTGCGAAACTACATAAGTAGCTCAGTCGGCACATTTCATACATTTTTATAGTTAGTTTGGAATATCTAAGTTTTTATCTTCATTACAAAAGTAGTATTTAAATTAAGTAAATTGCTATTTAATTATTACATCTGTTGAAGTACATTAGTGGTGTTAGTTGCAAATCTTCAAGGGTCTATTTTGTTTTTACTTCCTCAGCTAGTCGTGTACTTTGACCATAATGTTAAGGAGCCCCACTGCAACAGAAGTTGAAGAAAAGTGTGTAAAGAAGGACAACCACCTAATGTATCGTCCTCTTTTAGGATACATTGTAATGTCTAGCAACACAAACTAGTGGATCCACTGTCGAAGTGCTGCACTTCAGAGGGGTCGTTGTATGTAACTCGCTTAAAACATTTACTTTTGCAGTGGTTGAGATATAAGTTCGATACTACACCACGCAAATTGGTGTGTCATTGAACTGGAAGAAACGAAATAACGGACTTTGATGCCAACTATTGTCCTCCCACATGAATGTATCGGCAATAAGAGTCATTTCCACCACTGGCCCTTACATTAATAATAGAGTCTCGACCCCACATTATTGTGGAGAGCTTTCGTCCCCACAATAAAATCACCGAAATGTATATATTATTACATTATATTTATATTATGTCATTTAATTAATTTATTGTTTTCATATATACACACACCTCTTACTTTAACTGTGGTTTAGTTAACGGAAGTGTCACAAGTTTATATTTTTGTTTGTTCTCTCTTTTAACCTTTGGTGCATAATTTCATCATCATCAATTGATGGTTTTTTTTTTAAAACTTTTTCTTTCTATTGGCTTTTCCAACAATAACCAAAAAAAACTTTCACCTTACACAAATGTATCAATCCCCATAAAACATAGCATTTAGTCAATTGTGGAAATATGTTGGGTTAAAACAAAAACAATGCTTAACTATTTAAAACAAAACAAAGAAAAAAAAAACAGATAGGTAAATATGTAAATGCATCTCCAGTAAAACGTGGAAGGAAAGAAAAAAGTCCGATTTCTCGAAATACATATTTATCTTATCCACTCCAGAAGGCCTTTTTTTCATACTAAACTAAGATAAGCTAACCTAAGGAAATGTCATCAACGTCGTCGCAACACTCAGGTAAAGAAGGTTCAACTCATAAGCTGGATGACCAGAAAATCTCAAAGGTGCATATTCATGGTGAAGGAGGTGAATTTGTCACTATAAATGGCCAAAAGTTCTACCGTCATGAGTTGATGTCAGCATTCGGTGGTACTTTGAATCCAGGTGTTAGTCCATACCCTGACAACCAAATTAACCCAGCTCCTGTCGGATTATCGGGATTCGCCTTGACTACCATAGTCTTGAGTTTGTTCAACGCACAAGCAATGGGTATCAATGTCCCCAACGTCGTGGTGTCATTAGCTTGTATGTATGGAGGAACAGTTCAATTTATAGCTGGGCTTTTGGAATTTGTCACTGGAAATACATTTGGTTTTACTGCTTTAACTTCGTATGGTGCATTTTGGATAAGTTATGCCGCTATATTCATTGAAGCTTTTGGAATTGAAGATGCGTACAAGGATACTGACCAAATGGAGAATGCTGTGGGATTCTTTTTATTGGGATGGGCTATCTTCACATTTATTTTAGTATTGAACACCCTTAAGTCAACCCTTGCTTTCTTTAGTTTGTTTTTCTTCTTGTTGCTCACGTTTTTGCTATTAGCTGGTGGTGCTTTTACAGGCCATGTTGGAGTGACTCGTGCTGGAGGTGTTGTTGGAGTGATCACTGGATTTATTGCTTGGTACAATGCCTTCGCCGGTACTGCAACGAGAGTTAATTCGTATATTGTTGCCCATCCTATCCAATTACCTGTTTACAAGAGAGATTAATTTTTGGAGAATAAAAGATGCAAACTTTGAGGTTATTGTCCTTTTTCGCTTTATAGCCAATGTCAATTGTGGATGTTTTCTTTTTGTTTGCAGTTAACCTAATATAAGAACTTAGATAGACGTTGTCAAGCTCTTTGTAGTTACTTGTTAATAAAGTGCATAGTCAAAGGTAGTACAACCTTCTACTCCAACACTGTGGATATGGGAAAGCCGGGCCGCTTGTAACATAATCTCAAGTCAAAAAGTCCCACACAAACAGGAGAAGAGTATTAAAAAGAATACAATTTAAACTACAGAAGGGTTATTTGATTACACAACAACACAACATGATTATTTTATTAAAAAAAGTTTGGTGATATCGCCAAAAGATTTTCTATAGTAGGACACTCACCCTTGAGACACTCTCCAATATAAACCTATGGCATCTCACCCTATAACCCCTGAAGACTCTAGCCCGGTGCTCCTATTTGGCCATTACATTCCTAAATTCATCTTAGATCCCTTCCTTCTACCGCTTTTAGAATCCTAGGTATATTGATGTAGTCATTTGTATATAAATGATTTTCAATAAAACCACTAGAACATGGATAGACAAGAGAACCACATATCACTTGAAGTAAATTAAGCAATAAAGTTTGATTGTTTCCAGTAACGTACTCTCCCATCAATATATCCCAAGGTAAAAAGTAAAGGACTCATCTTTTAAAACGATTGCTCATAAATGTGCATGCCCACTTGGGTCATTGTGGTACAGACCGAATAAATCCTTACAACCAGCTGCAGGCACTGGGCTTTCGTACTTTATGGGCTAAACCTGCATGCTCATCTTGTAATTAAGGCAAGATCTTTCCCTTTCCGTCTAGCATTAATGGGCGTAAATTCGTCGTCAATGTTGATGATTACAGTAGTAATCTTTTGATCTATGACCTGGTGCGCTCTACTTCAATCACCAATTACACAATAATGAAGGGACAAATAAAAAACAACAGAAAAAAAAACAGTTTTCGAACGGCATTTGGTTGGATTATGGGTCTTTGTAACGTCAATTGACCAATGAAAGATGGGTTATAAGAACGATGAGTAAATTCATAATAGATCTCAAGAGAAGTTTAGATTCCCATATAAGATGCTATTGCAAAATATCTTTCACTGTAATTAGTGTATCTCTCTCACTAAACAGTTTCCCTCATCATTATATTTATTGGGAATCTACTGCGCCATGTATACACTTTTCTTTCGTTGTGGATGACACCAAAAGATCAAAGAGTGGCGTCTAAGTCTGGGTGTGGTGATAGTGATGGTAATTCAAATACTCGTAAAAATACGATTCACACGTAAGGCGCACAACGTGCCATACAAGTGCAAAACATTGAATGACAGACGCTAGTTGGCGCTGCGCATAACTAAACACTTCGAAAACTTTGTTTTGTATACAAAATTGCGCGCACTAAATGCTTAAACTGTCATGTTTTATAATCTATTAATAGATTAAACTCTGTGATAAATTAGTTCTGCATTCACCTGCACATGTAGTGCGAGGTGCAAGATATATTAAAAGCTATCTGTGTCATTTAATGAGTGGTAGAACCTATTTGTTAATCGACAATGTGGTGGTATCTATGCTGCAAATCCTTACGGCGTTCTACCTCAAATACGTATTAACCAATAGATGAGAAGAGATGCTTATTGTTCTACTGTTCCTATGCTTTTAATTAACTATTCATAGAACAGACAACAATCATTTTCACCTTTTCCTCTCCAGAACCACAGGTTCCGGGATGCATGATGAGTCAATTTTGAGAGATTTTAGTTACTATCCGTACTAAGTCCTTATGATTAACTAGTAAATAGAGGAGTAATGATTCATCCTATTGATTAACTGCACCAGCAGACTTTAAGTTGTATTTATCGCCCCATTAAATTAAACGAAATCAGTGCTAAATAATATACGAATAACGCAAATATCACCATTTCCACCATGGCGCTTGATTTTTGTGAATGAAAAGATCTTTGTGTCGCTTATCTATAATAACTGTCTAAAGTGTTCCCAAACTTTACACAGAAAGTGGACTAACCATGTTTAAAATTTTCACCACAGCTATATATAAAAAGGGTTGGATGGTCTCTTCTTTTTATTGTTACATTCTTCCTGGTACTTTTGTTTATCAACTATGTCCACTTCATCACATCAGTCTACAAAAACCACTAGCGGTCTCCTCACGTTTGGTCATTCGTACTACATAACCAACAACAGAGGGGAATTGATATCAAACGCAGCATCATTCACAAATGGAGGCATTGAGCCCGCTGGAAACAATGGTAGAACGTTAAGCAAGTTGATGGTGTTGCTTTTCATGATTTCCAACTTTGTCGCCGGTATTGCGACATCAAATTTGAAGGACAATTTGGTGTGTGTCGGCGCCAGAGAGGTGGTAGAACCATTGCAACATGTTACTTCTGACGGACAGCTCTGGTACACTTTTGATAAAGAGGATTATGCGTTAGATTATGTTGAATCGTTGTACTTGAATGGCACGTCATTAAGGGAGTCAAAATATTTTGCAACGATACCAAAACTGCCTTGAAAGATTTTGTTGTTACACCAGAAAGTAACACAAGCGTTGACAAAAGATGGTCTTGTTCAAGTGCACCATTAGGAACACATTTTACACAGAGACGAGTGGCTGATAGTGAGATAAGGTATACTGGATGGACAAAGGGTGAATGTAACTTTAACAAAGATAACAAAGAGGTTAAAAAAGAATTCATATGGCAGAGCTCTACCAATGCAAATTTGAGCCACGGTTTTGACTTTAAACTTGCTCTAAAATTTGCCAGTTCTATGGGTGTTAAAATTGCCAAAAGCGACAATCGAAGTAGATCTCTGGCCAGCAATATTGGAGCAAACGATGTTGTTTCAATTTGGACTCAAGCACCTATGTGGTATTGTGAACAACAAACGCAAAAATACGTGAGAAAGTATTATGGGAAACATGGATGCAAATGCAGCGCGTGGTCTGCAAATATACATGGTGATATTCCTGCAATAAACAAGCAGGTTAACCTTGGTTTTAATTCTGGAACTGATGCTCAGTGTTTGTGAATAGGGTAGACATAATATAAGACGAGGAATCTTAATAACTGCTAGCTCGTTAGACTTAGTTGATGTTGAAAATCATCAACTCTCTTGAGAGGAGCTAAACAAATGCAGACTTAAGAAACTTTTGCAGAATAGAAAATTCACACATCCTTAAGACCACACTTTGTTGACTTGAACGGTAATAATGATGGTGTAATCCTCTCCACACTCTTTCGTAATTAAGGGCCCTGGAAGGAGAAGTTGAGAAAACTTTATAAAACCCTCGCCTTGTTCGGTCCTAAAACCATCCGATGGCAGGGACCACTTACACTCGATGGTTTGACTTGATAGTCTTCCTCGTTACGGGAATTAATCAAGAGATAAATGAGGTAAACTATGATGGATTCAAGTAGCAAGAATCGGAGTTGAGAGATTTTTATACTTTCTTTGACAATGAGCTACTGTTGTCATTCGAAAGAGCTCTTTACCGATCAAAATTCAAATCGTCTGCGTGCCCAATATCAAAAGCAAAGGGTGCACTTCAAGATTGAAAGATGGCCGCATATGCCTTGAAAGGTTTGAAAACATTTCGCAGGGCTCATAGCCTGTTGAAATGCGGTTTTATGCGAGTTTGGACCTCCATGTCAGGCATGATACGTATTCTATTTAAAAAGTGGTGAGTATATTTATTCATAGGATATAAAATGATGTAAAACTCAAAAAGACATCCTCACATTTTGAGTTTCATTTTGTTGTTGGATCCCTTTTTTGTTGATTCTATCGTTTTGTACGTTTGTCTTATATTTAAGTTATGATGAAGGGTTTTTAAAGAAATTATATTTCACCTTTTGCTTTCTCCCTTCTTTCCTTCTCTCTACCTTACTTGAGGCCAATCTATAACACTTCTAAGCCAGCAACTTTTTCAAACCCTCCCCGGTCGATTAGTTACCTATATCTACAGACCAATCCCCAATCGATTAGTGTTCGCAGATACAAAAACGTCTAAGAGCCTTTAATTTGAATTGGAATACTAGATGTATTTAGTAGCTTATACAGTTTGATACTTGGCGACAATTGTATCAAAAATTTCATTCTTTGACTCTTCATCTTTAATCAATTCATGTTCTCCATTCACCTTTTTTAACTCACCCAACAACTCATCAGTTCCTTGTCCGTAATTGACCAATCTATCCAAGGTTATTTGATTGGCAATCAAGTCTGCATTCTTTTCATTGGTTAAGGTCGATATCTGATCCAAAACCTCTTGTGCTTCTGGGTAATGTTTCAACTGCAACGTCAACACCAACAACACAGTCAAATTATGAACTTTACCCTTGATGTCATCTTCGCTGTAACTGTTGCTCAAGACTTCATCATAAAGTGAATAACTATTGTTGACATTATCAGTTCCATTTTGAATACTAATGTACCAACTTTCAATTATTTGGTAAATGATGTTGTCACGTGAAAAGTCTGGAAACAGGTTCAAAACTTTGAAAATGGCAGTAGCTTGCTTGAAACTGCCCTTGATGAAATACAACTGAATCAAGATTAAAAACACTTCAATTTCATTGTATTTTTGTAAATTGTTCAAGTTGTCAATGTAAGTGGTGAGAAAGTTGATGCTTTGGTCAATATCCTTGGCAAATTTCACCAAGTAAAGCGAAGTCAAGATTGCTTGTAATTCAAATTTAGCTTGTTTCAAATCTTCAAAATAAGTTGAATCATCAGTACCAAAATCATGTAAATCATTCCATGCTTGTAGTAACTGGAAAAACTCCTCATTGTCTGGGAACCTGGTTTTACCCTGTTCAATCAATTGCGATGCATCTTGGTCTAAAGCTACTGTTGCTCTAATTTGGAATTCCAACACCTTTAATTGATTCTCCTCGGAATATTCTTCAAGTGAGTAGGATTTGACTTTGAGGTATTGGTTGGTGTAAAATTGGTATCTGATGGTGTATAGTTCACCCGAGTCAGAAAATGCGTCCATAGTAGCTGCTATATGTGATACAAACTGGTGCTTGGATGTAGCTCTGATGTAACTTGTAGCTTGATGTAGCTTTGTTGTCAACTTTCAAAAGTTGAGAGTTTTTCAACGCATTATAGCAGCGCTACCACCACATATTCAACGCGTACTTCCTCTACGGCAGCTTACATTCAGGTCAGTTATCTTTAAAAGATATTAGTAAATAGATTTAGCTACTATGCCACTCTATACTTTATACATTTCTACTTGCCACCCCTGATTCTGTCCCAGGCTGATAACTGTTTTGGTGGATCTTGAGAGTCAGGAGCTGACAAGTTTCCACTGGAGTTCACATTGCCACCAAAAGTCAGAAATTGGGTTTGCTTCGGCTCTTCATCATCAGTTACGTCAAATCCATTCGCTAACCTAATCTTGTCCCAATGTGATAGATTGTGATGTTCATTGAGACCAACGCCATTGACGAAATTTGTACCTTCTCGGTGGTCATTGTGGAACTCCTTTTCTTTGTAAACCTGAGGATCAAAACTAACCTTATCAGGACTAGGCTCTACTATTCTCCTGGTTTTAGGATCTACTGACACGGCTCTTGGATCTTTTAGCTTATACTTTGGGTCTTTGGATGATTTCAAGTAGTAGTAATAGAATGCGCCAACGTTGTGCCATTCCATATGCTTCCAGGCATCCAATTGCGCTCCATTTAGGTCGCCACTACTAATTTTGTCATTAAAACTCTTTCGTTGTACAATTGAACTGACAACCATCATATTGGCAAGTCCAAGGAAAAACGACAAGAATGGCTTTTGAATGAATGAAAGCTTAGATGGTGTTTGCTTCTTGATTAGCTTATAGTAAACTGTAGGCGTGATAAGCCCCACCATACCAGCAGAATATCCAATGAGGTTGTTGGATACAAGAACCGACTGTAACTCTTGCTTCAATTTTAACCTATCTTCTGGGGTTAACTTGCTATCAGCTTCATAAAAGTCAATGCTGGCTTGCAATTGCTGTGGCGATAGACGCGACTTTAAGTAGTCGTACTCGGTTGGGTTCGTCTTTGCATCGGGATCGCTCATTGTGTGTTGAGGTTTGCTTTTTGCTTTCTCCTTGATGTGTGGAGTTGATGAAAAAAAAGCGGATTTTTTCGGAGAGCAAAACTGAACTGAAGTTATTGAAATTACCGAACGTCAGTTTTTTAAAGTATAGAACTATACAATCGAACGACAAATTACTTGGTGATATCAACACCGTGGTGCAACTTTAACCTGTCCCATGCACTCAATGTGTGTTTCTTACCGGTGGAATCAGTATGACCTAAACCAATACTATCAGTAAAATGTCCATTTTGTTTAGCATCGATTGAAGCTTCATCAGTACAAGTCCTGGGGTCTCTAATAATGAACATTGGATTGAAACTTGTTCTGAGATAGTACAATGTGTAGGCAGCAATGTTCTGGTACTCCATATTCTTCCACACATTGGCCACATTAGGATTTGGAAATGAAGATGGGGTCTCCTTGGTTTTGTTGAAAAAGTACTTTCCCGTGTAGTAGTTACCAGCTATTAAAGTACCAAAACCAATACATAACGACATGAATGGATATTGAATCAAAAAGAATGGAGTTGGCGTAATGAGTGGCTTCTTGATGAGTCTAATGTAAATAGTTGGACCAAAGAAGCCCAACATACCAGTTGTGTAACCAACAATATTAGACTTGATTGAAATACCTTGCAATCGAGAAGCAATTGCTACTCTATCGTTATGGTCTATTTTTTGATCAGCTTCATAAAAGTTGATACATTTTTGAAATTGATCAGGAGTGAGGATGTTTTGTAAAGGATTTGAAGTAGACATTTCTGTGCAATCGGATTGTGGAGGTAGGTGTGTAGGTGAATGTAGAAATCTATCAATTAAAAGAAGAAATAAGGGTCTATTTGTAGTTTTTTGTAGTTAGAGTGACTTTTCGAACCTTCTAAGAATCTGGACCTGTGGGATTACGTAAGAGACTCTTTAATTGCTCGGAAGTACAATGCGCCAACGCTTAAAATTAGAAATAAGTTCTAGTCTTTTCTATAGCGATTTGATTGCAAAATGTGAACCTTGACTAGCTATATCTGTATGGGGTTCACTTATGCTCTCCCTAAAATTTAGGAATGAAAAGGCGCTTCATCGAAAAACCACCAAAGCAGTACATACAGATAATAAATCACTGATCAAGATACATTTAAAGTAACTATACGCTTCTTTCACTCATAATCTATCTGCTTATAATTTATTGTCAGATCTCTTTTCCTCTCTAAGTTTTACCAACAGTTGGATGACTGAATCAACACCAACCATTGGGTTCTTACCTTGCTCTTCGGCAATATCTCTATTTCTAATATTGACTCCGTAATTCTCTTCTTCTTCAGCACCAACAATGAAGATGAAATTGTATTGCATCAATTGACCTGATCTAACCTTCTTAGGTAATGTGTTACCACTTACATCAACATCACAGTAGAAAAAGTATTCATCGTTAAACAACTTCTTCAATTTCTCAGCATAATCATAGTACTTTGGACTGACTGGAACGATAAGTATTTGTCTTGGCGACAACCAGAATGGCCATTTACCTTTGTAGTGTTCAGTCAAAATGGCAGTCATTCTTTCCACCGATCCCAAAATGGCTCTGTGGATCATAACAGGACGGTCAGTAGCACTGTTACTCTCCGATCTGTACTCTAATTCGAATCTGGAAGGCAATTGGAAATCAAGTTGAATGGTTGCACATTGGAACCATCTCTTTAATGCATCACTGATCATAATATCAATCTTAGGACCATAGAAAGCACCATCACCAGGGTTCAACTCCCATTTGCCTTTACCCAAAAATTCGTCCAAGGCACCTTCCAACTTCTTTTCTGCCGCATTCCAGGTTTCGATATCACCAACGTATTTCTCTGGCCTGGTTGACAACTCCATCTTAAATTCAAAGCCAAAGATACCATACATCTTCTTCAACAAGTCAAAAACACCGGCAATTTCAGTACCAATTTGATCAGGAGTACAGAAAATATGGGCATCATCTTGTTGGAAACGACGGACTCTCGTCAATCCTGATAATGCACCGGAAAACTCATTTCTGTGAATCACACCAAAATCAGCAACACGCCATGGTAACTCACGGTATGAACGTTCTCTCGACTTGAAGAGAAGACAATGTCCGGGACAGTTCATCGGTTTCAATCCAAAAGTTTCCTTTTCAACTTCAAATGAAAACATATTTTCTTTATAATTCTGCCAATGGCCAGAAGTCTCCCACAATTTGGTAGCGTACATATTTGGAGTAATCACTTCTTCATAGCCTCTCTTTCTATATTCAGTTCTCAAAGTTTCCACCAAGGTATTGTAGATCCTAGTACCATGTGGCAACCACATTGCTGAACCAGGGGACATATCGCTGAAAAAGAACAACTCCTGCTCACGACCAATCTTTCTGTGGTCTCTTTCAGCAGCTTCTTTCAAGAATTGCAAGTGTTCAGTCATTAACTTCTTATCGGGGAAAGAAATACCATAGACTCTTTGCAATGAATCGTTTTTGGCATCACCAAGGAAGTATGAACTTGAGTTTTTCAAAACCTTGAATGCCTTGATTCTTCCTGAATGTGGAATATGTGGACCCACACACAAATCAATTAATGGACCACACCTATAAACGGTTGTCGATGTTCCATCAGGGATTTTATCCAGAATGAATTGGACTTTGTACTTGTTGTATTTAAACATTTTCAACAAGTCTTCCTTGGTCATTTCCAATCTCTCGAATTTTTGCTTCTCCTTGATGGCTTTCGTGGCAATAGTTTCTAAACTGCCAAAGTCAGCTTGATTGACAAAAGTAGTTCCATCATTAATTGACATGTCATAAAAGAATCCATCATCAGTAGGGGGACCATGAGACAAATGACACCCATAATGGCATTCACAAGATTCTCCCAAAATATGTGCCGACGAATGCCAAAAGACTGCTTTACCCTCTGGATGCTCAAAATCCAAAAACTCCAAAGTGACATCTCCTTCCAAAGGACGTGGCATATCCCAAAGTTTTCCATTGACTTTTGAAATGACTTGTCTTTCAGCAAAGGATTTTCCAATAGAGTTGGCAATGTCCATTGGAGAAGTCTCATAGGAAGTACCTTCTTTGACACTTCCATCCTTTAGAGTGATCTTAATTGGCTTCCTTTCCTTAGCAGTAATCTCTGCATCATATTTGGCCTTTAATTCGTCAAACAATTTAATTCTCTCATCGAGGAACGCCGGTTGGGGTTCCAAGTACAATGGGGAGCTTGACTGTTGTGCTTGTTTCTTGTCCTTCTTTTTACTTGGTCCTTTGTTATCCTTTACGGATAACTTTTCGACTTTGTCGGCTATTTCAGACATCTTTTCTTCACTGTTTGGTGATCGGTTGAGTCACTTGTCTGTAAAATTGCAAGATTTTTTTTTGTTTTTTTTTTTAGTCTTTTTTGTTTTTTTCATTTCCATGTCTGAAAATTTTGAAAAATAATGGATTACGTAAGCGAATCAAGAGCACACTGCAAAACCAATTCTATTAAGCTTTTTGAATTGAATAAAAATAAAAATACATAATACAAACGTACGAATTTGACTACTTAGAATATTAAAGCATCGTAATGCAACGTAGTGCCTATAGGCATCCTTAACTGAGGGAGATCTCACTCATCCTGCTCAGTAGCCTTTTTCATTCTGGCAATTTTCACCAATGGACTCAAACTCTCAACATCATCACTTTCTAGTATAAATTTATCATGTAACAAGTCATCTGCAGTAGCACGCTTATTGAAATCAACCTGTAAACACCACGACAAGAACCTACGAATGTCGTAACTCAATGCTTCAGGCTCTTTCAAGGATGGTGTTCCATTGGTGGCAATGAGATATAATGCACGAAGCGGTGTTTCATTCAAATATGGCGGTTCACCTTCAATCATCTCAATTACCATTATTCCCAAAGACCAAATATCCACTTTTGAACCATACTCCTTTCTCGAAACAACTTCAGGGGCCATCCAGTATGGAGTTCCCACCATCGTTGTTCGCTTCAAATTAAGCTCATTTATTTGAGCACAGAACCCGAAATCGGTCATTTTGATATTACCGTTGATATCGAGTAATATATTATCCGACTTGATATCACGGTGAATGACACCCTTTGAATGCAAAAACTTTAACCCCTTCAATGTTTCTCGACAAACAGCACCAATTTGTCCTTCAGTCATGACACTGTGAGTAACAATCTCAGTCAAGGATCCACCCTCCATGTACTCCATAATGACCCATAAATCTCCCTTCACTAAATAAGAGTCGATGTAATTGACAATGTTGGGATGTTTGCTACCCTTCATGACCAAAATCTCATTGATAATCAACTCCTTCTTTGGCTGCTGCTCAAGGTTCATTTGTTTGATTGCAACAGTGCGATTTCCCTTTTCAACTTCGTGGGCAATATATACACCTCCAGATGCACCCTGTCCTATCTTGATCAAATCGACGTACAACTCCTTTGGATCACCTTGGGTGCATATACTTTGAAGTTTGGCAATGATTTGCAAATTCTTGCGCTTCTTCTCTTCACGCTTCTTCTGCGCTAAAAGAGCAGCTTGTTTAGCATCACGCACAGTGCCCCCAGATGACTTTTTCAATGCAGGACCAGGAGCAGCTCCATTTGGATCTATGTTCAGTTGTGTAGGCGTAGGCTGATTCGATTGCTCTTGCTTTTGCTGCTCCAACTTTCTGGCTTCCTGTTTGTTTTTGTGTTCCTCGATTTCTCTATCCCTTTGCTCTTTCAATCTCTTTTTTGCTTCAAGTACTTTATTCTGATGTCCTTCTTTCAACACAGTTGGAGCAGTTGCATTAGCTAGTGCTTGATGGGGATCACTACGAGGAGGAATTGCTTGATGCATAGGTACTGGTGGAGGAGGTGGTGCGCGATGCGAGGTGAATTCGTTCTTTCTCTGCCTTGGTACATTCAAATCATCAAACTGTGGGGTTGGTGCAACAGGAGCTGTGGTTGAGCCTGTAGCAGTTGGCTTGATTCGATTGGATAAAGATGCAGAATGTGATTTCGATTTAGGAATATTTGAAGGGACAGATGGCGAAGGAGGTGGTAGTGGTGCCGGAATATTATTAAACTTATCAATACCTCCATTAGTTTGGGCTCTCAAAGACTTGACGGATTTCTGTGAAAGTGTCTTTTTCTCCAAATAAGCTGGCGATTTCGTTTGATTTGGTGGTGATGTGCGCATTTGTCTTGGCGTATAGTCTAGTCCTTGCTTCTGTGACGAGGGGGTTCGGGCCACACCCAGTGTAGATCCTGGAGTTGAAGGTGGTTTGGGTGCGGGCCTGCTAGGAATAAATTGGTTCTCTTGATGAACTTTTGGTGTGTCCTGTTGAGGTGTTTGTGATTGTCCTCTGCTCAGTTTTGGCGAGACTCTTCCTTGTCTTGGGGTTTCGTGATCACTTTCAACAACTTTATCAAGTGACGTGGTGGACACCCTTTGCGGACTCCTTGATTCACTAACTGGTGTCGCAGGGGGTGTATTTTCAAAATTTTCCGAGCCACTCGAGTCACTCTTGTTTTTGTTGATTCCAAACTTTTGAAATGCATGATCATCCGGATTTTCATTTGTGTCTTGATAAAACGCCACTATATCCATCATAGCCTGAGGATGCTGCTCTTGCTCCTTCTTTGTAATACCACTAGCTGCTAATAGCCTTTCCCATTCCACTGGTAAGCCTGTGTACGAACCATCATCATCAACGCCTACGTGAGCAACATGCTTCGCGTTAAAAGGAGTACTGATCTTCATATTGAGCTCTGGTGATGGGGGTGCGGGGGTCGCTGAAGATTTGCTTTTGCCAAACATTGACGAAAATACTTCGCGCATTTTATTTTTCTTCTTTTCTGTTTTTGGTGACTGTTTTGCCGTATTGAGGCCAATTGAGAGATTAGGCGATGGTATAGTTCCATTCGAAGAACTGACCAAAGTGGAATTGGTTGATGTAGCCAGGTACGAGGGGAATTTGGTTGTACTTGGTGGAACAGGTGTGATTGCTGCTGTTTGGTTATGGACTGTTGATTGACTACTTTTCGAAGCCTTTGCATTGGTAGTTTGTTCTTCCTTGGGAGTTCTTACAACTGTTGATGTTGAAGACACATTTCTGCTCTGACCTTCTTGTTGTTCCGCCTCCATTGATGGAGTTTGGTTGAACTGATGTTGGAAACGTTTCGGATTCATTGGAGGAATTTCATCAATGTTTTCATTTTCAATGGTTGGTATTCTATCTAATTCATTTTTTAAATTTGGAGAATAGACTAGGTTGCTTGACGAGTCATCCTCATCACTTTGATTTAGATATTGATTGATGTCAATTGGTGGGGGTTGGGTAAACTGAGCCGGCTTTCCTGGATCTAAAGTTGATTTATAATTGAGCAGTTCGGCGTCAGCTTGCGAACTACTAGTTGCAACTTTTTCCGATTCTTCATGTTCTGTAGCTTGACCTTCATCCTTCGGTTGCGACGACTTGTAATATGAAGCAGTCAGGAATGCAGAGTCATCAGGTGATATTTCTCTTTCTTCTTGAGAATTTTCTTCTACTGAGGCGTCACCTACTTCAACCGCATTATGATCAATTTCGCCCTCCTCAGCAATAACACTTGCCGAAGTATTTAGCGCAATGTTGGAATTCGTCTCCCCCAGGCTCATCTGTTCAAACATTCCAGGTCCAATTGAGTCTTTACTTTCACTTTTATTGATTGTTTCTCGCAATTGGTTATATTCTTCCTCTTTTTCATTTTCTCCTGTTAAAGCACTGACGTCAAAAGTTCCAGGTACTCGAAGAGGCATGCCGTGCACCACTTTATTAGGTTCTTCATTGTCAACGTCCTGGCCAATTGCTTGGTCTTCTGCATCGCGTATAGATAACTTTTTCATCGCAGATTCATCAGTAAGTTTATGGCTGGAATGGTCTGCTGACTCTGACTCATTGTCACCCCCATTTGAATTATCCTCTGCGTCGAATTTGGATAAATTATCATGCATAGGCGATCCCAAACTCAACTGGGACCCATTATTGGATGATTTTAAGACGTTGCTTGGTTGCTGTAATATTGTTTCGGCTTCCGATCGAGACGAATGAACATCATGCGACCAGTCATTGTTTGAATTACTTGCATGTGGTAGACCAGTTTCAGTTGTTTCCTCACTTGGCAAGATATGAGACTCAGATAGCAGTTGATGGTCGGAGCTCATTGCTGTATACTGCTTCTAGGGATTAAAAAAATAAAAAGTGGGGTTTATACTCCTGGTACTTTGTTTATATTTAAATATTGTAACGAATGTTGTGTTGTCTTTTGGTCTCGAATAATGTGAATATGGTATGTACTATCTAAAGGTGTAATATCACTATGCTCTAGTGATAACAATAAACCAATCTCTTTGGATGTCTAAATGATAAATCGTACAGTGTTGTTGGTAAGTATCTATATGTTATGGTTCTGTTGTTTTGGAGATATCTTTTTCACGGTTGAACTTTTCTATTTTATTTTTTTTTCTGTTTAATTTTAATTTTAATTTTTAATTTATTTTAATTTATTAATTTTAATTTATTAATTTTAATTTATTTTAAAACATTCTATTTTACTACTACTCAGTAGAAGTACAGTTTTAAAGAAAATTAATCATATTTACACGACAACTCTAATCCAACTAGCTTTCTCTAATGCCATTGGGATTAGAAATTGCAAATCTTTAGGGCTAGGGGTTACAGAAATTAAGACGGGCCTATCTTACATGGGCGAGTGATGTGTAGGTTTGACAATAAGTTTCTATAAAACAAAAAGGGTTTCATATCGTGCCACCTCCATACACCAATACACAGCTTCCAATAAAATAAACTTTTTTTTGTTGTGCAACACACGACCATCAATTGTCTTTTGTACAATAAGAGTATCCAACAGCTTAAACCAGACGGGTAATACGATACAATATAAACAATACTAAACAGCCTTCATTCCACAAAATGGAAGAGGTTTGATGAAGTACCAGCTGGTATTGTTTAATTGGTAAGCCTTATATGTAGAGAGTCACAAAAGAGTGTATCCAGTCCCTATTTTTCTCTCTCCCTTTGACAAAAATTAGATTCCAAAAGCAGATCTAGGCATTAATGGTATGATATGTGGTATGGTTTACAAATTCCCTGCTAAAATAGACACTTGAAACTTTATTGATCTTGTGTGAGATTATATCCCAAATGAATAAATGTATATTGGCCTTTCGCTCCTAGTGAACAGCTACCTAAAACACCAAAAACTTTAGGTCGCTTTGCAGATTTCCGGGCGTTGTCGCGACACGTCTCTTTTCTTTTGTATTTAGCCACGGCTTAAATACGATAGACACGCTTTTGCAACGATTACAAAAAAAGACACATCTAGTATCGTTTGTAAATTACAGTCTACTATTCTAAACTCGTTTATTATTTATTATTTTACAATTGTCTATAGTTATATCCCCCTAACCACGTGTTACTTTTTCCGCTTACCTTTTACTTCAAAATTACCCACCCCTTCATCAAACACATACTGATTTCTCACTAAATAATTCTTCACGTAGGGTCTTAAAATACTGACTCCGTTGGCTGAATGAATTCCACGACCAGTAACTATTTTCAAGCTGTCAACAAATATGACCGCTGAGCCATACTGACTAAGTTTGCCGTGCTCAATCCGTTGTTGAACCTCTTCTTGCCACCACGACTCAAGCACTTTTTGCGTTAGTGCAAGGGCTTCTAGTGAAGTCTTGCCATGCAAATCAATTCGAGAAGCAGAAACGTACTTGCTTACATCCACGCTTGAATTGATTCTCTGAACTTGTTGAGACGATCGTCTTCTCGTTGTTGAGTATCCTTGAAAACTTTCCGATAAGTTGGCGTAGACATCATTGCTGTTGGTCGTATGGGTCCCACTCAAAGAAGCTTGCTTTGCGGCAGAATTCTTTGAATTTGAGTTTAAACTGACCTCAATCGTAGGCAATTGTTCAACTGATCGACTCGACAACACCTCGCATGCAAATTGCAAAACTTTATCACAATTACCTTCAAAAAACTCAAGTGCATTGATAAGTACATTCTGGTCCAAAGTATGCAATTCTTCGTTAACAAGGTACATCTGTTGAAGTTCCAGACTTTCAGGGAAATCTGGGTTGTATTTATACGTCGAGGGAACTGTACGAGTTTCTGTCCTTGCTCTTGATTTATTCCGCAATCCACCACGTTGTACACGACCACCAACACTCTTGATTATTACTTCCTGTCGTATTCTTGGTCGACAATTGACAACAATACTTTTCAACGATTCACTATAATCTTGAAGACATTTACGAATATGAAACTTGATTTCCTCATCTTCAAGCACACGCGTGCATGATCTCTCTGTTGTGGGAGAGTCACCATTGTCAATATCTAGAAATAACTTGAGTCGATTCATTAAATCAGTGTTGTCCAGCCATGCATTGACTCGAGTTTCGTTACTTGGCTCAGTTTCAACATAATCAGGATCTAGCAAATCAATAGACGCAGCATCCATGTCACCATTATTCTTAATGAGCACCTGTTCAATCAATGAGGGCTTAAGATGTGGGAATATTTCCTGCATCTGACATGCCTCCACGATGAATTTTGACAATCGAGGCTTGTGCTCGCGTTTTGGAGGCTTTTGATACCAGTTCAAACCTTGCTCTTTCAATTCTTTCAACTCTTGTGAAGCATGCAGGCCATCGGCTTGTCTTTGTTCCCCCGTACCTTCTTTCTCTATCAATTCTATCTGCTCACATTCGATAAACAATTCCTCCATTAGCTGTTCAACGTCTTCGCTGAGTTTCAATCTTATTTTCAAGTCCGTTTTGGAAATAGTGGGAAATATGTCCGTCAACTGTTCCACTAGACTTACAAAATTAGGGTCCAAGTCACTTTTATCGAAAAAGAACTGGGTATATTCGTGTTCTGTCGTGAGTTCTGCGTCTTTTTGATCTGGTGCCTTTTCTGAGGAACTAGCTGAAACTGAAGTTGGCCGACTTGTCACCATTGATTCTTGAGACATTGAGCTTCCTGTATTCCCACATTTATCGGTAGTGATGCAAAGGTTGTCATTATTTTCCTTCTCCACACTCCTTCCTTCATCTTGCTTGTTGTTTGATTCGTCCTTTGTAGTCAAGTCTATGTTTGCGAGTCTCTCATTCAAACAGTCCATAGCAGTTGTTTTTAGAAGCAATTTGAAATCGACTCGCTTTATTCATTCAATGTATTAGTGTCGTACTACTTGGCAGTTGCGTTTAGCACTGTGATCTTGCAAATGATTGGAAATCACATACTTTATTCTGCCAAAAAATAAAAACGTTGAAAGAAGTGTACACAAAATCTGCATCATATGGCAATCTCTACAGCATAGCTTTTAAATATCTAAAAATCAAGATTCACTACATGTCTGGTACCTATTCATTATCCAAATCCTGCCCATTCAATAGAAAAACACATTGGCTCATCATCATCATCATCATCATCATCAAACAATGCCTCCAAAAACTTATCATCAACACAAACTTCATCACCATCATTTTTACTATTCTCATTTTTTCCCTCACCCTTCAACTCCATCAAGATCAAGTTCTTCTTCACACTAGTAGCCAATCGTCCACCAACAATAATATCATACATATCAACCACATCAAACTTGACCATCGAATAAGAATGGTACCGCAATGGGTCCCCCGGATAAATCACCAAATCACCCCCGAATTTCAACCCCGGATTGATATAAAACCCATGATTTTGTAAAAACTTGTAATATTTATAATGCTTGATAAATTGATCTAGACTTTTTCGGTCGTTATTGTGCCTAAAGTATGCATTCAAGTATGATTTGATTGGTACTGCAAACGATTGAGCTAGGTTCGAATCACGATCAGATTCGCAATTATCCGTAACCAAGATATTATTCTTTGTCAAATTATCATTCTCTACTATGCCCCCCTGCAAGGACTCCTGTTGCAATTTTAACCTAGCACTACGATACGCCAATTGGTCAATTAAAATGGCATATTGATATTCAACCAACCATAAAACTTCATAGATGTTTAATTTTAACGGCACCGATAAAAATATGTTCTGTTGTGGGTATTGTTGTAATGTACCGATTAAAACGCCTAAAATGTGACAATTGTTGCGGAGTTGCTTTATATCATCAAGATTGAATACAAGAACTTCAGGGTTTGATGATGGACTAATAACAGGTAGAAGAATAGGCAGAACATATGTATGTTGTTTCAAAGCTGGATCTATTGATGTTGGCGGTTGTGTTTCATTTAGTGATGTCATATGCGTAGTTATATCATTTTGCATACTATGATAGTCGGGGGACTTTGTCTGCGATGGAATCAAAAAATTGACGCAAATATATTTTTGTTTGGAAAGCATTTATTCCAAGAAGCACGTGACTACTATGTAATTAATGCTGGTAAACTAATATAATATCAATCATTCTCTGATTTAAAGTGCAGTCAAGCACTAAGGACACATGAACTTCCAAAAGAAACTAAAAAGTAATCATCATACACCAATCATCACAAGAATATATATATATATATATATCATTAAATCGTATTTCTAAAAAAAAAGAAGAAAGAAAAAGACAGATATGGATCCAACTCTCCAACTACTCCACTATGAAGTATCACCATCTGAGTCATCACTTGGCGGTGGTTTTTTCCTCACTGTTCGTGATCTATTGGGTGAGCTTGGTTGAGATAAAGCAACAGTAGGTTCTGCAGATAATAACATACTTATATCGTCATTCTTATCATGGTCAGCACCACCTGTAGCATTGTTTCCTGCAAACATCATTCCGGAATCTGCCTGTGATTCATCATGCTCATTTGCAAATATTCCAGCACCAACACCACCTCCACCTCCACCACTGGCCATTTGTTCCATGCTGGGCGAATTGGGCATATTATTCAACGTTTGGGCAAAAGCAGATGATGAAGCCAATTGACCTGCTGTAACACCACTAGTTGATTTATAATGTCTTTTCGGCGTGAGCAGGCCACTATCTTCCCCTGCTGCTACTGTTGTTGGAAGAGCTGGTGGCTCATTGATATACTCAGTTCGAGCAAAATTGAACGATGGCGAACGAACTTTTGGTGATGATAAAGACAATGTTGGCTGAGTAAGTGTTGATTGCACCGTCACAGGATCAGTAGAAGCGGTAGTTGCCGCCGTTGTACCTGGAGACGCAGCCGAAGCAGTAGAAGCAGCACCAGTTGTTTTCCCACTTCCGTTACTGCTATATCTGTCCTTGTTAAATGAAGACACACTTGGTGACTTGCGTGTTCGTCTATTTGAAATCATTTCTGGTGGATGGTATGATTCGGTAGCTGATGGTGAGCCAATTACGGGAGATTTGGGCAGCGATGGTTTCAATGTTGGCGTTTTGTCAACACTTGGATTACTGGTATTGTTTCTATAGTCATCTTTGAAATACCATTTACCTATTCTCTTTAATAATCCATTACCAGCACCGGTGCCATTAGCATCTGCTGAAGTTGGATTACGCGACATACTTGATGTTCTTGTACTTGCAGAGGAAGTGGTGCCGCCAGTGCTAGGAAACTCGTCCAACAGGGGTGAGTTTGATTTGTTTTTAATCTTTTTCGTAAAGTCGTTGATTGTAGATCCCATTCTCCGCAATGATTTTTTTGAATTCGATTTAAAATCAGATTCGGTTAATTGAATCGAGGCTGTTTCGTCAATAGTGTTCATTTCTGATGCATCATCATCAGCAGCAGCAGTGTTTGCCATTGCTTCGTCTGTGCCCAATGAGTCCTCATCTTCATCTCCATCGTGTTTCCAAATACCTCCTCGATACAATTCATGCTCAGTTTTATAAAATTCAATATCATCCCAGTATGGCATAACCAAACTTTCCTTCACTGCCTCTTTAAACTTCTTTTCAATTGTGCTAGTAATAAATGAATAGTTTAACGATTTGGAACTCAATATAGGTTCAATTTGGAAATTTAAAGTTGGTTCAACTTCATAACAATACCAAAATCGATTGCTGGGAGGTGGTTTCAATTTGATCAACATTGGCCCTTCAAGATTAACCAAAGATATCTTCAACACTAAATCAACTTCTCTAGTGGTGAATTTGGTACCAAATGTTAGGTCTAGTTTGGTGGCAATTGTTACTGATAATCCGCCATTATATGAAACGTGAGAGCTAATAACCAACGTTCCATCGGGGTTAATTTCCTTCAAGCTTGGATAAGTGAAAAATGGAGCTGAATGGCCCGGTTGAATATTTGTAATTTGAAATTCATCGAAAAACCCTGGTTTCTTGATCTTGTTTAACTTTTTACTAAGCTTTGTGAATATGTAATTTTCGAAAAATTTCGTATCCTTGATGGCTAAAAACCATCTACCTATTAATGCATTCATCCATTTAGTTTGTAAATGGCCCTCAGAGCTATACAATGCTTGGATCAAGTTGACCATTTCCTTGGTAGAAAAATGTAATGTTTGTGCATGCTTCTGTGGACTTAAACTGGGCGGGATTGACGATGATGTGTTTGACGATTCTAGTTTCGTGCCTCTAATCAAGGCAAAATACCAATCCTCTTTGTCACTATTGGTGTCGCAGTAGATGAAAAAGCTTCCACTTGGTGCTTTGTTGGATTGTTGATTCAAGTTGGTTAGCCTGTTAACATTTATCAATGCAATGGCGGTGTACTTGGTAAACAACAGTGGCTCTGGTAAATTGCGAGGCCAAATGCTAACAAAATAGTTGCCAAGTACAATGACATGTTTTACGTCTTTAACAGTTTGGTCCTTGTATAGGAACAAGTTGCCGTGTTTTAGCACACCAAAGTACCGATGCTTCTTTAGCGACTGTCTTACTTGTGCTGGTGGCAGTTGAGTAGAAATAGCTGGAGGCGGAGGATGAAGCAGCAGTTGCTGGGTCGTGTTTGTATGTTGTGAACTAATGGACGCAGCATCGGATATAGACGTGTCGTCTTTTGTCTCACTAGCATCTGGCTCCGTTTCTTCAGTTAATTGATCTTGTTTTCGCCTCTGTTGCTGCTGCTGCTGCTGCTGTTGTTGTTCCCTATTGACCAACTTGTACAATGACGAAATTGCCGATCGGCTCTCCACTGATTCAGTAATTGAAGTAGTGTTGCGATTGATTTCATCGGTGCTTTCTATATACTCATTGGTGACAAATAGCCACCCGTTTTTAAAACTTTCCAACCCCGATTGGTGTTTTTCTTCTATTTCGCCTGCCTTGATAGATGAATCTTGTTCATTGCTTGATTCGGTTGATACGTCACGTAACACATATTGGAAAACGAAAGCAATAAGTAGAAAGGGACTGATAAAACCAAGGCTGAATATGAATAGAAATGAAAATAGACCCATTGTATGTATGATGGATTAGCTAACAGCCTAGCCTCTGTTGTTGTGGAAGGATGGAGAGACTGGTTTTGTTTTCAGTTGCTATTAACCCTGTCTAAAAAAAAGGTTCAAATCAATTGACGTGTATTTTTGCGGCCGATCCTAATGTCGCGAGAATAATATTTATGTCATTGATTCGGCGAATTCGATAAACTTTATCACCGATATCTCAAAAGTCGGTAAGGGGGACAGTTAGTACAAAAGGGACACTCATTATCCAGCGACTTCGAAATCCCTGGAATGAAGGGAGGTCAATGCTGTACGTAAATTCGTGCTTGTGATTTGACGTAGAGTATTTTCAGTCATAAGCTTAAAACGCATGCATGGTTTAATCCAAAATATTAAACACTAATGAGACACTGCTGGCTAATTTCGGAAGACTGACCAAACCAAGAAACCATGAAGGATATTTTTGTTGGCACTGCCCGTATTGTAATTCCACAAAAGAATCTTAGAGAGAGAGAGAGAGAGAGAGAGAGAGAGAGAGAGAGAGAGAGAGAGTATGTGTGTGTGTGTGTGTGTTTTAAAACGCGACAAACATACTTTCTGGCATACCAAAAACAAAAGGACATGTTAGTACAAAAAGTGAGTATGTAAAAGCTTCAAAAATAAAAATTTAACGGCTTTTTGGCACTTTGTGGTTTTGGAAGGAGGGTGTGTTGTTTTGGGTGAAAAATCGCCAATAAAATAAAATAAAGTACCATAAACATAAACAAAGTAAATGTACAAATAAAGTAAAACAAAAAGTTTAATTATAAAACGCCGCTAGCTTTTCCTATTGTCTTCCCAAAGAGGTAACGTCGGGCCCGTCTTTGAGGCTTTGTAGAAAAGAGAAAAACACATATGGTGGGTGGCTCAAGATCCATATATTCTAAATACAAAAATAGGGGGAGTGGGGAAAGGGAGGATATTTATGTCTATGGATAACTTCATTTATCCCATATGATACAGTCTCAATTAAATATTAAAAGGGAAAATATTATATTCGGCAAAGGCTAAAAAACTTTCTAGTCACACGACAAATTGACAGTTTAGAAAATTTTTTCCACACCCACACACAAAGACCATAGGGTTAATTATTACACAACTGCATATACGAAGAATACAAATGTTTATTTTACTTGCCTAAATAGTAAAACAAAATGTTAGCAAGTGCCAACGAACACCATTAAACGCCAACAGAAACACTTTGTTTAAACAAGAAGCATTATGTACGACTGGGTCCAATTTGTGTTTGTAATTTACCACAATACTAATATACAACTTACTTACTTACTTACTTACTTAGTTTAGTAACATAAACATTAGCCCAAAAATAAAAATACAGCCTGTTATTTATAGGACAAACAGATATTGCCTTTGGTATTTTGTACTGTTCGGCATTTTTAGAAGAACTTTTATTTGCTTACTTTTTGCTCGGTTTGATATTCTCACACAAGAAGAGTTAATAAAGGAAAATAAGACATTTTGTCTCATTTATCCAAGGAAAATAGACAAAGGGATTGTTTTGTTGCTTTTTATACGACAGATGCTGGTTTCAGATTTAACTAGTATCACAAAGGGTGGAAAGAAATTAGTGAGACAAAAACTACTGGCCAACGCTATACCTTTCGGTTCCGATCACCATGCGAACCGAAGAAACACAGAATGATTTTGTTGTTGACAGTTTGACATAGTGTCAACTGAGTAATATAGACCAAAAACTATTCTTCACTACACTGACCTCTTTCCTTTTGTTCTTCAACTCGATAACAAATGAGGCTACAGTATCACTGGTAATAACATTTGCAAAAGAGAAGCAGCAGTGAGCGTTCTGGAGACAGTGTTCTCACATGCTATCATTAGTAAGGACAAATAATATCGAATTTATATTGGTCTTGTAACCACAAAATTAGACAGAAAAAACGAAGAAGTAGAAGACCATCAAAATGTAACAATAATTGGAAGAAACGCATATAACGCTTACATAAAACATAGAAATTATTGTTACTGTTACATAATGGACCAATCAAATTGAATGAGAATGTAAGACAAGTCCAGAAAGAAGAAAATCCCGAAAAATATAGAACAAAAACGGAGTCAGTTTTGTATTGTGTAACGCAAAATAATATTATACATTATTCGTCTTTGTCTTTGTTTCAATAGATTTGAAGTAAAAACTCCCGGGTGAAAAAATTTTCACTTTGTAGTTGCATACAAAAATAGCTGTTTTAATAATTTCTAGAAAATAAGGGCAAATACACAAAGAGTATCACACTAATTCTGAGACATACAAACACATACGCATTCAAAGATACAAAACGAAATAAAAAAAGAAAAACAAAAAGCGCCACTGCCATTAGAGATTGTGTTAGGTGTTAGGTGTTAGGTGTATAGCAGCTGGTAGCCTCAACTTTTTGATAAATTTAGAAAATATAAAAAAAAAACTATTTCTTCAATAATAAAAATAATAATAGTAATAATAATAATAAGACTGTATATCTCTATATACAAATAAATAAAAAAAAAAACAAAGATAAACCTATAATAAACAAAGTGTGAATTAAAAAGCGAATGACTGAATAAATGAACTTTAACTTAATTGAAACCAACAACAACAATAGTACCATCTTATTCTTCTGTCTGTTCTGAAGAAGAATAAAATCAGCAAAACTGGAGGCGTAAATTTATTTATGCAATTGTGAATGACTTTTGTATTGTTTCCATTGTCTCTCCTGTCTTATTGTTTAGTCTGTTGTTATGTGAAGCTGCTTCATTTAAAAATAAAAAGAAAAAAAAAAAGTTTTCTTATTGTTAGTTTAACATAAAAATTTCTTTTTCTTAATTTTTTTTTCAGGCTCCGATAAAAGTTTCCCCAAACTAAAAGACACACTCCCCAGACTTAGCCCAGTAGCAAATAGCAAATAGCAAATAGTAATAGCAACTCACCAACTATTATCCCCTCTCAATCCCCTCTCTCGTACTTCCCCTCCTCTAAAGGTAAAAATCGTTAATCATAAAGTTTCCAGTAGACACCATTTCACTAGTAGCTGTATATAAACTATGTTGTTTCAATGCATTGGTTACATCGCCACAGCCACTAGCAGCAGCAGTAGCAGAGCCAAAGTTGAATCCACTCTGATTGTTGTTGTTATTGTGACGTGAACGCCAGAGGTTGAAATTAATCTTTGGTTTCTGCCAATTGAGCGATGATGTAGTGTCATTTTTGGTGGTGGCGTTGGTGGTGGTACTTTCTGGGGAATACAAGGATGAAGTAATACTAGAAGGTGACGACACTGGCGAAACAATTTGTGACCGAGGATCTTCTTCATCATCTTCTTCTTCAAAAGACATTAGACTGGATAATGAAGTGGTAGATGTATTTGATGATTCAGATACATTATTGGTAGTGGCCATATTCGTAGTTTTTGGTGATTGTCCACCTTCTTCTTCCTCTTCTTCTTCATCACCATAAGTTAAATAATCTTCAACCGAATACTCCTTCTTAGGATAACCAAAGTTGACATTTCTGAAAAATGGTACAGATGAGGATGTGGATGCCGATGCTGACTCGGACTGCTGTAGGTAAGAAGTTGGTTGTTGTGGCTGTGTTTGATTGTGGTGGTCTCTGTTGTTATTCAACAATGCAAATGAATCTTTATATTGATTCTGTAATCTGTTTCTATAGTACTTCCTTATATTATCATTCAATATCTCAGTAAAATTGACCGAGGCAATTCCAACTGTTTCCTGCTCCTCTTCGTCCTCCTCTTCTTCTTCGCTATCAGGTTCGTATGCATAATGTGGATGTTGAGGTGATACTTGCTGTTGCTGTATATTACCCAGCTTTTGTTGTTGTTGTGGTGGTGGTGGTGGTAGTGGTGGTTGTGTAGTTGTAGTATCTGATGATGATTCTATATCCAGCAAGAAATCATTGTTTGTACTAGTTAATGAAAGTAATTTTTCAACAGGGTCAATCTTGTCTTTACTATGTAATGCTTCTTCCTCTTCAATGTATGATCTCTTTCTTCTCTTTGTATTGGACTGTTGGTGTGGAACATTGTCATTAGATCTTTTGTTATGCATAGACTGTTGTTGTGGCTGTTGTTCTTGTGGTACTAAAAAGGTAAATTTGTTAGTTGATGCTTTAGCAGTTAAAGATCTAATGCGATTAGACTTACGAATAGGTTGTTGCACTGTAGTTGTGGTCATTGAGTAAGAAGGAATGTGGTGTAGTTTATGTATGCTGTTTTATGTTGTTTTTTTTTGGTATGGGGGTGAAAAATTTGAAAAATTTAAATTATATTTTTTTTTTCTTTCTGTCCCTCTGTTTATCGTCTAACTATAAGTAAAGTAATATAGACGTATATGAATATAAATATGTATGAGTGTTGTGAAGTGAAATGAAGTAAAGTGTAATGTAGTAGTAGTAGCAGTAGTAGTAGTATAAAGTAATAGCCAGTATTGCTTCTAAATGCTGTGTAGAAGAAGGAAAAGAAGAAGAAAGTAAAAAGGACAGAAGAATGGGTATATGTGGGTCTATATATATATTGATTAAGTAGTACAGAAATAGAAATAGAAAATTCTTCTAAGACAAAAAAAAAAAATAAAAAAATAAAAAATAAAAAAAAATAAAAAAGTAAAAAATTTTAACTACACAGAAACAGCAAAGTTACACACATATATAAATATTAACACTATATGCATAAATTCACCTTAGTTAATATCATTTGTGTAATCTAAAATATATATTGAACACTATTACACTACCTTCTCATACACTATCACTAATACATTGTCTGACTCAATAGAAATAAAACAAAAACATAAACAACTAACAAACCAACCAACCAACCAACACAACACATACCCAACCATTCACAATGCAATCACCACACTTACCACAACTAATCTACAACTACAATTGTCCCTCTACTCCCTTTTTTTTTTCTCTTTTTTTTTTGCTGCTGTAATGCTTGAATTGCTTCTCAAATAGAGAGTAGTAAACTTTAAGAGAGAGAGAGAGAGAGAGAGAGATTGATGTATTGAAAAATTTAAAAATTAAAATAAATTGTGTTGCAATTTTTATGTTAAACCACCTGATGTTTTAGCAATCTATCTTCTTCCTTATTCCCTCTATATCCATCCCTTTGGTAGAAGAGTTATAAATAATATTACATAGAATAAAGTGGGTGTTGGGAGGCGAAAAAAAGGGGTGTATGAAGTTGGGTATAGGGTGTTAGAGAAAGTAAGGTGTAAAGTATTCTATTTCTATTTCTTTTGCTTATCATTCAATCTATCGTTGCTGTTTGATAGTCTCTTTCTCTCTGTTACATCTCTCCCCTCTCTTGTTCTCTCGTTCTTTCGTTCTTTTGTTCTTTCTTCTAGTTAACAATAGAATTGTTTCTACCAATTTCTACGCCAATTGGGTTAAATTGGATGCTGAAACGCATACTTTTCTTGTTCGTAATCTCATTCCTCACTTATTTGTTGTCAAATTAAGAATTTTAAAGCAAAGAATTATATATATCACCAGGATATTCCATTTAGCAATATTATAGAAGGTTCGAGTAGAGTATAATAGCATAAAAGTTTAAAGAGAAAAAGAAACAATTGAATAGCAATTCTTAATAGGAGCTACCACTTTCTAGATATTTTTTTTTTGTTATCTTTTATCTTTCTATTACATCATAACCATATTTCTACTATATATCTTGTTAATATCTGAACATTTGGGTTGAATTTTTGGGGCTTGAAGTAAACGTGTCCTGAAACTTGAACTGTATACAATAGAGATCCTGTAGAAGATTAGTGGACTTACTTGTACTCTTGTGTCAAGTGTTGTTGTTCCATTTTTTTGTTGTGAATTGCCGGCAAATAAACAAAAACAAAACTCCGACAAAAGTAAAAACGTGGGTTTCATGTCGTGCTTACAAGAGAGCCTTTCTTTCAACAAAATAAGGATGCAAAAACCAAGAGCATACAATTTGTAAACTGTAATCTTAAAGAATCAAAATATTATGGGAATGTGTTCTTCACACACACACACATGCACATAGACACACACACATATACAACACATATACACACACCACAACAAGAGCAAATCACTCATATAATTCTCTATGTACATCTTTTCTACTATCCTCACATGACGTTTCTATTGTCGTAAATGAATTTTTGTTGTTGTGTTGACCATTGGTTAATTTATTTAATCAAATAAAAACTAAAGGCGTTGAATTACATTTGAAAGAACAATAAAGAACAGAGGATTATTGTCCCATATAGGACTAATTTGTATGAAATTTCAACCCTCTTCTCTTTGTTTAGTTATTGTGGTGAAAAGAGGAGAAGTGGAAAGATATGGTAATTTCCACCCCCTCCCCATGTGGGTTTACATCTTCTTTTTTGTTTGTGATTCAACAGAAGAAGAAGAAGAAGAAGAAGAAGAAGAAGAAGAAGAAGGAAAAGAAGGAAGAGTGACGTTTCTCTTTGTTTTCTGGTCAACTGTTGTTTGTTTATTTATTTGTTGTTTGTTGGTTGTTTGTTGGTTGCTCAAACTTAAATGATGTTAAATGCAACTCCACTTATCTATTATTTGATTCTATTTTAGTTTCATTCCATACATAATCTGCCAATTTCATCCCAATCTGTAGCGTCTTACCCCGGGGTTCTTGCTTATTGCTTATCGCTCTTCTCATAGGTTATACCATTAATAAACTATCAAGCATATCCCCACTCCAATTCCATTATTCTTGTTTGTGTTCAGTGTCTGAGTGATTTTAGGGGTTTCAATTCGGAGCTTGGAAAGATTGGATTAAGTAATGTTGCATTTTACCAATTCTTTTGTTTTCTTGTTCTTTTGTAACACCCCTACTCCTCCCCAATTTCACCTCCTTTTTTTATTTTTATTTTGCTCCTCACAACCTTTTGAACGTTTGAATTCGTATGGGTACTTGTAGTTGGATATATGTAAACAAAAGGGGGGAGTGGGGGATATATACAAAGATTTAAGAAAGGAGTAGGAAGGTGGAACCAACTACTTTTCCAAAATTTTGATAAAGCTACTACGCAAGCAAAACCTACATCTTTCCTTCTCCTTTTCTCTACTTACACAATAGATATGCATAATCTAAATCACAAACAGTCTAAACCAAGACCAATAGCAATAACATCGACATATAAGTTTCGTAATGGGTTTTTTATGCGATGCAACCTCACTATTGGTACCTAACTCTAACACGGAAGTATGATTTAATTGACTTTATCTTTTACATTTCCGATTCTTTCTCTGGCAAAGCATATCACAATCAAAATACAAAACTCTATACTGTTGTAAATGTTACGTGGGTGCTGCCATCTATTTCTGCTACTTATCATATCTACATAACATACCCCCTGCATAAAATTTGCTCTACTTTGCCTCATTCTCCATAGCTTGCTTAATAACCCCAATAATGGCACTGCTTTGAATCTTATCATTACCCCCCTTTGAAATTCCATACTCGACTTCACTCAACCCCTTCAAATAATCAATTCGTGTCTTTGGCTTCACTTTATAATCATTAAGTATTTCAACAAACCCCGTAATCAAATCAATCAATGCCAACCCTTTATCAACTTTGTATCTGTTCAATGTCAAATACGCAGTAGTCCAATCCCGTTTCAATATTGAATCCAATACGGCTTCGATATCCTGAGGGTGTGGAGCTCCAATACAATTGTAAATCATTTCAATATCTATCGTTTCATCTTCATTGCATGCTGCTTTACATGCTTGAAGAACATTCAAACTTCGTCTCATGTCCCCTTGAGATAAACGCAACAAGGCATTCAATGCATCGGGCGTGATATTGACCTTCTCCTTGATAATCACATTATCCATCCTACTGCGTATCGCCTCTTCGCCAATGGGATGGAATCGAAACCTAGTACACCTTGAAATCAACGCCGGATTCAATTTATGGGCATAGTTGGCCAAAATGCAAAACCGACAATTCTTGGTGTATTTTTCAATAATCCTTCGTAATGAATTTTGCGCCACACTCGTCATGGCATCAGCTTCATCCAAGATGATCAATTTGAACTGTGGTGATGATGAACTAGTGAATATCTGTCTCGTTGATGCAAAACTCTTGATTTGGTTACGCACGACATCGATGCCTCGATCATCAGACGCATTCAATTCCAAAACCATATTCTTATAATTGGGGCCGTAGATCTCACGAGCCAAGGCTATAATCGTTGATGTTTTACCAGTACCTGGTGGTCCGTAGAATAGTAAATGGGGTAATTTGCCCGTTTCAACAAATCTTCGTATGGTGTTGACAATGTCTTGTTGTCCGTAAACTTCAGTAAGGTTTTCCGGACGATATTTCTCAACCCTAAGGATATGGTTAGTACAAACAACAGTGGAGATTAAAACAAGCTCTCAAACTTGAACATACCATGGTAGGTTATCTTTATTTTTATCGGTCATTTGTTCTTGAATCGTGGTAACAGATCTCAACTGAGTGACGCGTACTTTTATTGAATTTTTTTATTTTTTATTTTTTCACTTCACTCATTATTTCTATGTCTCTATATAACCTGCATAAGAACAACCACGCCCAATAAAACCCAATTTGCAGCTAATTTCAACCCCCAGCTCTTCTCTGTCATCATTTTACCTACATAATTACACGACGGCCATTGTGAATCAGTATCGGTTTCCCAATAATAACTCAATGCAATACTGTCATTGCGAGTAGGACACTGGAAGTTAAAATCAGCCGGACAATCACGAACAATGGCATGACAGACATTAACACACGGCAACATTTCGTAGTAATCTTCAACTGGTTGAATTATATCCTTGATGAAATCGTTTCGCTGATTGGTGCTGTCACGTTGGATGTACCCCGTCGTATAATTGGTGGCACATCGCGGTATAGAAACGGCACATAACCAATCTCGATAACTATCTGCACAATCATCGCACGATTTCACATTGGAAAATACTGATTCGGGAACGGTATCGCAAGCGACTTGTTGTAATGCTTTCGAAAAATTGGTATACAAATTCTTGACATAGTTGTCATAAATTTGCTTTGTTGTGTTCTTTTCATCCTCACTTTCCGATGTTAAATTACCCAATGCAGGCACACTATATGCCACTCGACTACAAAAGTCCAAATCATAAATCAATTCACACGCCAGTCCTGACATGGTATCAAATGTAATGGGCTTGTAAACGGCGCCACCAAAATCGGTCCCACTGAAATCAGCCACGATATAGGCCAAATATGTAGACAGTTCATTTAAATAGGGCACGTAAAATTGTTGTTGTATCCCCCCATTTCTTGTCGTGAAGGAGCTTTCACTATTCCACGGCCCCATAATTGGTGAACCCGACCTAATGGCACACCAACTCTTGCTCAACCCGTCAAAAATATTTCTCTCATCAAAGGGATACACATATAACGAATACTTTGATTTCGATGCATTAAGCGACTCCCAATCACCACTATATTCAGTAAGGTTTTCCGTGATAAATAACGCCAGTTTATCATCGGTATCAACCACGTATCCAAATGTACTCTCATCCCACTGGAAAACCAAATCATTCTGCGACACACCAATTTGGTAGGTCCAAGTAGCCGTGGTATTTGTATTCTGCGGTGCTCGCACAGCAATGTACAATACCCGTTGGGTGTCATCTACTGCTGTCGTCGTGGGCACTGATACTTTTGTACTGGAGCTAGTGGTAGTGGGGTAGATTGGTAAATCAGCCAAGGCTTGGAAATATCCATCTTCAAATATCTGCATCTTTCCCACTTCGTTATCAACAAACATGGTGGCATTGAATGAATAGTACACAGCTAAACTAGTATCATCCTCATCGACATTATCGGGTTGAGTGCATATATTGCCTGATAAAAAGATCAAAAACTCGTAGTATTCACCTAATCCGGTAGATGTATTGACATTGAATGAATAATACTTGACTTCCGATTGTTTAATAGTATCGATAATAGGAGTAAATTCCTGTAGCCCCTCCGATGATGTCTTTCGTCTATCCTTTGTTGTAAAATGCTTCACTTGAACTGGGTTGTTGTGTTGGCTCTGATTGACATTTAGTAGTAGTAGGTCTTGATGTGGGTACCCTAGTCCAATTTCAAACTCGGTGTTTTGAAACAGTCCAAGTATTTCATCGGCAAGTGTAAAACATAGTAGGTAGAAGAAGATTGTAATACACTTGTGCATTTGGATACAAATAAACGGATGATGATGACTGGAAAGAAAATGTGACAATCAAACCTTTCATCAAATCGATTTTGTGAACCCTAAAAATAGAAGCAATGGAAAAAAATGAAAAAGCTAAAAACAAAAATAGAAGGCTTTTTTGCATCTCCTTTCTCTCATGACACTGTTTTCTAAAACGTTTATCACACTGTCTTCAATATATATACTAATTACTTATCTACAACCCTAAATCTTTCTTAAACTTACTCCATATACTTCTCTTTTTCTTCTTTTTCTCATACTCGACATTACCTCCGGCACCGCTGCCGCCGCCACCTCCACCGCCACCATGGCCGGACATTCCCGGTTGACTTCTTCTTGGTTCCAACTTCAACTTGTCCAAACTTGTTCGACTTCCGTTCCTCGTTGTACCATTAGCATCATCCGATAAGAACTTACGCAATGGAGATAAACCCGAATCCGACAGCGACTGCTTACCCTTATCTGGCTTTTCTAAACTACTCCATTTCAAAGTTTGTGGTGGAGGACTTGAATGGTCGCCATTACTAGCCAGGTTAATGTCTGGCAGTGTCGATTTCTCAGGTGACCTTGGCTCTGGTGTTGGTGTTGGAGTAACACTTGTCGATTTTATCCTATTTAGCTTCAATTGCTCACTAACTTCTTTAAATGACAAGTTATGTTCCTTTGATGTTTCCTTCTTTACTTCCTTTTTCTCCTCCGGAGCTAATAACGACTTGGTTCTATAGGTGCTTACACCAAAAGAATTGGATCCAGTGATTACTCTAGCTAGCTGAGCACCTGGCCCAGTATTCTCAGGCTGAACTGCAATAATGTCAGAACATTGGTCAATTGAATTGTCGGTTATTGCCTTGGCAATGTTCACATAGTACGCATCGTTAATAGGATCTTGCTGCAATTTTTTCATCTTTCGCTTGATATCCTTGTTGTAACTAAAAAACAATCGCGCAATTTCCTCATACGAGTCATAAGACGTTGCAGATGAGTTGCTTTGGTGTGACTCCTGAGAAGCTATACTTTCCACATCATCATCGTCGTCGTCGTCACCCATATGGTCCTCGTCAACAATTGAGCTGATAGTCTCTTCCATGCTAGTACCATTGATTCTACTTTGCAACGAGTACTCAAAATTACACATATTGACTGCAGGCACAACAATTACTGGCAAGGGAAAGTTTTTAACCAATCGATCGGTTATTTTGGATGAATTCCACGAGCGCAAAGGAGCACCAACTGCCTTGTTGGGTTTTGTCCCTGTACACACTATATTTGGCTCATACAATCGATACATGTCCTTCAACACTTCCTTTGTACGTCCAGCAACTAATTCAACCGTCACTCTCGCAATAACATCAGGATTAATAACTTGCAAAATGTAATCCATAAGATCTTTTGCAATGTTTGAAATCTGATCAGGTTCATTTCTCAGTTTGAATCTCTCCAACGGATCGGGTCCTCTTGAAGGAGATCTTGATAATGAAAGTTGACTTCTTCTTGCCATCCTGTTTCTCTCATATTCTAACACATCAGGGTCGAGCGTGGCACACACTATAATCTTGTCTCCATTCTCAATAAATTTGCTTAATATCCAGTCCAAGGCCACCCAAGTATGTTGTCTTGCACTAATATAAATTAATATCGTTCGGTGTGGCAATATGGGAACTAACGGAAGTAGCTTGAGATTGTACAATGGTTCATATAATTTATGTCTTTGAGTAAGTGAGCAAAATCTTCTAGTTGTAATTGGTGTCGTTGGATAATGAACCACTTGTTTCTCCAACCTCTTCAACTCGGCAAGTTCAGAACCATCCAATTCTTCATAGGCATTTCGCCCTGGTGAGGCAATGGGTGATCCCAACCTTTCTCCTAATGAATATGGTTCTCTGCCACGTATATAACTGGCACCTGGTCTACTATTGCCGTGTTTGCGCTTGTATATTTCCCACCCATAATCATCATCAGAATCGGGAATATCGTCATCGTCATACTGGATATTTACGTCATCAAAGGCAACTTGTTTCTTGTACAAGTGTTTGACATCCTTATCCTGTTTCTCATTAGGCGTGAATGTGATAAAACGGTAATTGGTGGACTGTGTGTTGGTTAGTTTGTTGAGTAAATCGTCTGCCTTAATGTTCTTATCTGACTGGCTAAACTCTGATGATCGTCTTAGTTTTTCATTGCCCAAGTTCCCCCCTGTAAATGGTTGTATTTCGTCCCCATCAGTGGCTGCACGATGAAGTTGAGATTCTTCTTCTGAATGATGTGTAACTTTGAGTTCTGGTATTGAAGTCATATGTGCCAATGTTGATTCAAAGGTGAAGTTTGTGTGACTATTGCTAAGTTCAGTATTGTTGCTAGATTAAGGTATATTCAACAAGGGTTTTCCATCCAAAAGAAGTAAACGAAAGTAGTTGAAAGTTGTAGTTAAGACAAGAAGGACAAGATAAAGATGAGATAAAAGAAAGTATGTTTTGGTTAAGTCTTCGTTTATAATGTAAAAAAGATATTTATTAATGTTTATATAATAGAAAAAATAAAAACTGTGTGTAAAGTTTTAAGAACGGTTGTTTAGTTTGCTTTTAACATTTCTACACACAAAAATAATAATTTCTTGACACCAAAACGTCATCCATATACCAACCAACAGCAAATACAAACAGAAGAGAGAAGCTAGTACTCATTTACAATAAGATCTATTTTAGGGTAACACCCCAGCTGAAGTATAGTTATCCATCAAGATCTCACAAAGCCAAACAGCACAATCTCCAGTTTTTTCTCCCTCATTGTTTTTATTTTGCGCTCGGGTCTGGAAAAATCCCTCATACATTCTTAGTTATTATCTATCGTGTGACTGTTGGAAAAACACTGACAACTAACCATGCATGGGATCTAAAAGTTAAAAAGTAGCTTCCCAATGTGCACTTTAAAACCCTAATAGTGCTTTGCTCCATACAAAACATGTTATCTTTGTGCTTGGAAAGAAATTCAGAAAAAAAAAAAACAGCCGAGACTATGGGTCAATACAGTTTTTATCGACTGATTTCTAGGAACCACGCTACCTGCTTTAAGCCTTGTTACATTCCTATCGAATTAATAAAATTAAAGCCGTGCCGTAACTTTAATGCGGAACGCTTTTCCCGAAACAAAAACTATGCAAAGTGTAATTAAATACAAGCTATACAAGTCAATATGGTGCAGCACGACTCTGCCAAAGACACTAGATGTACGCAGACCAACCCCCATACATTTGTGCCAATCGTTCCATTGACGTAGCCTCTTGTATCAAAACATCAACTTGTCCATGAATATTCATGGCCAACCCTTCATCCTCATTCATCAACCCTCTAATCTTCTTTCGAACTTTCATCAAGTCTCTTTGCGGGTCTTGGTTCTTCCAATCCAACAATGGATCATAAAGCAATGTCTCTAAAATATTCATCAACGATTGCTCATTATTCCGCAACAATTTACCTGTTTCTTCGCAAGAGATGCGGAAACTTCCATCAACACCACATATACCCATCGCATCAACCATATTTTGCGTTAATCTAAATGGTACAATTTCCGGCGTAGGCAAAGTTCTCCCCTTTTCAAATAAGCAATCAAAGTCAATGTGAAGAATAGCACCTGTGTTTTTGAAAAATAGGATATTTTCACAATGTCGGTCACCAAGTCCCACCAAGTATCCCACAATTGACATCACCGCTGCCGACCTAGTGAATTTGTTTCTGGCAATATACCATGCACTAGGGTCGGAAAATTGCTCAATAAACCATTGATGAAGCACTGGCTCATTGTTGTGGACGATGGATTTAAATAATTGAACTAAATGCCTCAATTTACTCTCATCCTGTTTACCTTCCTGAATAAACTTTTGTGCTGTGTTCAATGCCACAAATATTTTACGTTCGTTAACAACTTTACCCAATCGCTTCCTCTGTTCGTTGACAATACCCTTCATTGTTTGCACGTCCATAACAAATTCAATCACTCCAATTTTCTCAGATAACGGAATCACTGAATAATTGGCCACATTCAAGCCCCTCTTTCTTGCCTCTGTGCTGGAAGAAAGTATACGATTAACCATTGTAGTGAACTCAACAACCTTGGCGTCTTTTCTCGTGTCATCGCCCTTGACCATTAGTCGATACGGCATTCCATCTGAACCTCGAATAGTAACTTGTCGTGGCATCTGTAACGAGAAGAATATATTGACAACATCATCAAATCCATCAAATGTAACCGATGCACTTTTGGGGAATGCGGTGTAATTGGCAACTTCCTTATAAGGAAGTCTTATTTGTAGATTGGATTGTACGGGGATGACCAATTGGTCGTAAGGCTTACTAGCATCTTCAACACCAAAATATTTGGACAACGACAATTGCTTTGTTCTTGATGATTTACTAATCGGCTTGGATGCAATTCCAATGAGCTTTTCAAAGAGTTCCAGCGCTGCCAATATCAACACACCATGTGACTTGTTGGTCCTTTTCAACGACTCCAAAATTGTATTCACCTTGAGTTTCCTCCTGGCATCGGTTGAGTGGACATGCGAAAGAACATACCACAAACTGTGGCGCGGGTACTCGATGATAATGTTTGATACCACGTTAGTCATTATTTTGAATGAAGGCTCATGTTCCTGAACAATACGCGATAGTATTTGAGTAATTACAGTATACCAAGCATAAGTCGGAACACTCTTTAAACTGGAGCTCAAGTCATGAATAATTTGCTGCAATTTCCGTTCGGCCGCCTTTGTCTTGTTGGGTCTCTTAGCTAAATCCAACCAAATTGTGATTAATTTGGGAAGTGCCTCAAATATAAACAGCGATCCAATAGAAACAGCCGTTAAGAAATTTCTCACCGTCAAATGCTCATAAAATCCTGACGAATCCTTTGAAGACTCAATCAATTTATTAAAATACTTTCCAATGTCATAACTGGATTTCTCATATTCTTTATCCAACTCAAACGCCTTTTTGTACTCATCAACAATTTGGTGTGCCGATAAATGATTCGACTCATCCAACCAATTGGCGTATTGAAGTTGTACTTTGGCTTTGGTTTTATTATCAACCAGTTTATTTCCTACTAAAACTTCAGAAATGGTCTTTATTGCCTCTGATTGCTTGCCCTCGGTCCATAATAATTTCGCAAATTCAATATTTGCCGCAGAATTATCCAATGCCATGGCCTGTACTATAGATCTTGTTGATATATCGAGTCTGCCATTTTCACGAGCAAGGCTCGATTGAAGCAATAATATATCAGAAACTTGCTTTTCATCGCGGATAATGTGGTTAGCAACGCCATGAATTGTTAAGATCTTGTTTTGAGTCTCAAAGTCTTGATCAACATTACTCAATCGAAGCTTTAGTATATCACTTTGGTCACTCGATGATAATATCTCTCCCATATCGTGCAAGGAATGCAATTGGTTCATCAAGCTAACATTTCTACTGAAGCTAGACGATACCGAGGAAACAAGTGACAGACCAATTACATTGTATAACTTATTCATTGAGTCGTCAAAGTTGGGCTTTTCATTATTGTACAACTTTTGCAAATATCTTGCCAATTCATAATTGACTACTGTCTCTGTATCCAGAGGTTTGCCCAACGAGTCGGTAACTTGTAACCACTTGTGCAATTGGCTTACTTTACCAGAATACACTGCTGATTTCAATCCCACCAAAGACCAATCCAATGGAATTTGTTGTATAGCGCTATGGTCTGTTGCTGACGAAAGCGTGGAGAGCACTTCATCATACGATCCATGTTCATTCAAAGCTTTCAACAACTTAGTGTTATACTCTACTGTAGACTCATCGCCAGTTCCCAAAACCTTGAATGATTCCAATGCCAAACTCCAGTTGTCATTATACTGAAATGTTGTTAGTTTCTGCTTTACATTATTTGTTGAAAATAACTTCAACACTCCATTCAATGCGTCATAATCATTGATGTTGGCATACATATTCTGCAATGTCTTTGAAGCATCTAATTCTCCAAGGTTGAAAGAAGTGTCATCAATGTGACCATCACGATAACACTTTTCAATATAAAGAATCGTTCGTTCAAAGGAGTCGCATTCGGCCGACTTGATTGCGATCAAGTCCATTCCAAAAGAATCAATGAACCGTTTCACCAATTCAATCTTATCAAGCCACATATCCGATGCAGTCACATCCAGTGAAACCAGGTAATTGGCAAATTGCCTTGTTGCTGATAACCATTCATTGCAATAATCAAATACTGAAAACACCGACTGGAAACAAAGCTTCAACTCTTCGGCACGATCTGCAGGCATAGTCTTTGTATCGTATTCAAACAAGTGTTGAAACTCTTGAAGCAATTCCTTTTCAACATCATGGTGTAGACAAAGAATATGACTAAGAACAACATACTTGAAAAGGTGTTGACAAAGAGATATGTTGTGATCTTTTTGAACCAAGATTGCACACGTTTGGAAAATTAACTGCCTCAGATTGGGACTTTTTGACTTATCATACCTGCTAGCTCGTTTCAATAAATACAACGTGATGTCAATCAACCAGGTTTCATACTTCATTCCCAGTTTGAAATAAGGAAACTCCATAGACTCCAATTTGGGTCTTGGTGCCGAATATTTGGAACTCAACAATGGTGTCAAGGTTGACTTTGCAACGTCACTAAATCGATTCCAAGTGCTGCTGTTTTCCGTCATCGAATCCTTGCTTATTTCCAAAATCGCTAAGAAACTTTGCATAGCATATGCAGCAAACAACTGTTTCTGGGGATCATTTGAGGCCCAAAATATGTTCAAAACATGGTTTTCAATCAAATCAACCAAAAATCCAGCATTTTCTTTGGCACTCTCGAAATTCAGTTGAACTACAATCAGTCGCTCAACTGTTTTAAAGTGAAACTTGTTTGCATCCAAAGCACCGACAACGGCCAACACCTTGGCGCACTCGGATGTGATTTTGCGATTCTTATTCTTAAAATGAGTCGCGGTATCCAAAACTGTTCGCACCAACACTGTGATTGTGTCATGCAAGCTAGGATCTTTAAAGTAGTCTGCTTGGCAATTGTATTGAAACTTTTTGCAGTAGTTGTAAAGGTCAAATAATCCTTGCTCGACGACGTATCGGTTACTCGTTCGAAGACGTCGATTAAACTCCTGAAAAATCGTCAATCTCGATGGCGACTTCATATTCTTAAACTCCTTCACGAAATTAAAGTCTGACAAGTAATCCAAAAAGGGAATCGACAAGTAGTATAAGGAGTAACGATTGTACTTGTCCTTAATCTCCTTGTAAATCTTTTTCAAAATTTCAATGGCAATACCTTGAGCTTCAGGCCCAAAAGTTTGGAATTTTTGGAAAATGAGCGAAATTAAGATATCAAACAAAGATATCAAATGAGTTGGAGGTAGCTTCTGCACTAACTCGTTCCAACATTTCAAAGTGAAGACATGGAAGTCCGGTTCCTCTAAAGTAGCCTGCAAACAAGTCGACAACTGTCCCAACGCTGAAGTCAAAGCTAAGCTGTGGTTCTTGATCAAGTACAAGATTGCCCGAAACGAAGCTCTTCTCTCCAAATACGGTTTGGCGCCTCTCAACAGGTGAGTCACATCACTAAACTTTTGTACCAACAATAACACTTGCTCCTCGATTAGCATACTTGCCATCTTACCCTTTTGAACCCGTTGATTCTTTTGTGCAGCCAAATTCTTTGCGACAATTTCCAAAGCCGATATAATATTGGGCAAGTTTCGCACATTGTCCCGCTCATCCATTTGAATTTCCATCAAAATGTGCCATGTGATGTCACCGATATGAGTGAAAATTTCATCAGTTGAAACCAGCCTATAATGAGGACAAACACTGCTCAATACCTTAACAACGTAACGTTCATTCTTTGCATCTTTGACTAAATATGAAGCAAGTATTCGAGGTAGATTTTGAGCAAGTAGCTTCTTTATTGACATGTTTGACGCATCAGCGATTTGAACCAACAACGTTGGGTCCTTATGATATTCCAACAAGCGCGGTACAGTGTATTCCTTGGTCCTGTTTAGAAAATATTTCCGGCTCATGCCCAATACCAGAAGAAACTTCTCAAACAAGCTTTCCTTTTTGATAATCATATCAGCAATGCTAGGCAAATAAGGGGATAGTAATTTGTAGGTGGATAAATTTTTGCTATTGGCAATATCCAAAAACCCACAGTACACATAATTCAGATGTTGGTCGTTGGGCTCGCCTAGCCAATCCACAAGCTTAAAGTACAAGGCGCATAACCTCTCACCATTACAAACACGAGCTAGCTCCACCAATGCATAAATTGTAGACTCTCCAAAATGACGTCTGTTGGGCGACTTGAAATCAATTGCAGTGATACGTTGAAATATAAATTTGAATATTCGATCGAGTGCCATGTCATCGCCTTCTTGGATAAGATATAACGGGAGCACGCGAATGATTAACATGCGGAGATTTCTATTCAGATGAGTTGATAGAAGCGTAAGCATTTTGCTTAATAATCCCTCTTGGTTGTCATCAAATGCAGGCAAGTAATTGGCATAATAGTTGAACATCATGAGGAAGAAGTTGCAGCCTATTAGTGGCTTTGACTGTAAGAGGTGCAACCGTGGAAGAAAAAAGTCTTGAATAATTTCATCCAATATTAATGACTCGGTAGTACTTTTAACTGTCGGTCTGCTTTTTTTAACTGCCGAATACAGATCTTTGACATGGACTCCATCTGACGTGCTTTTGTTCGCAAAGGTTCTACCAGGGAAGTTGCTTAATGCGGTAATGAGTGTGTACATTGTGTCATCACGTTCCAATTCATGAGGGACTTTTTTAACTAATGCTCTGATGTAACGAATCCAGTTGATATCATTAATGCCATTGTCAGGATCACCAACCTCTTGATACTCAAGATCGGCTCTTGTTACGAAGTCTAAACTTGCGTCATCAATGCAACGTGGATTGGTCAATGCTGACTTTAGGTCATTCAACTCGGGATTATTATACTGATAATTGACGAAGTCGATAGGAATTTGATGAGTTATTCTCAAGTTCAACTTGTGAAATTCATGGTGCTTCAATATGACGACTAAAGTACACTTAACTGACCTTGGAAACATTGGCAGTTTCTTTACCTTTTCAATTAGACGCTCCAATCCTAAAACAGAGTTAAAGTTGGACACGATTCCTCTTTCAGTGCAAAAAATGTAGATCTTGAACAAAGTTAGCGAGATTGATTGAACCAAGTTAGGATACTTAAACCCATTGGATGTATTATATAATTGTTCAAAGTCCCCCTCGAGCACTTCCGCCACCCATGTCAATAGCTGAGAAACTTTACCCCAGTTTTGTTGCTCATCAAGAAGTGCATTGTCCAAATGGGTAAGAATTATCAACGATTTTAAACTGTCCATCATATAAAAGGAATCATCCGAACTCAAAACACTCATTTCTTGAAGAACAAACCATAGCTTCCTTCCAAAGCTCTCATACTTTAGTTGATTGTTACTTAGATTCAATGAAAGTTTTTTGGATATGTCGTAATCATTCAAAACGGAATATAAGTGACAAGAAGATATCAATCTCTTGATATATGTCGGGTTGGTACTTAATGCAATATCATTCAAGCAAAGCGTAATGCCATCTTCCAACATGCGAGTAGCATTTTCCTGTAACAACTTTATGAATTTAAAACTATGCAATTTTGTCGAAACCAAGTTGATCACCAGTATCAAGAGGCTCTTTAAGTGATTGAGTATCTTTGGCTTGCGCCAAATATTTGCAATATGGAATAGAAGAAACGATATCATCCATTCGTAAAGTAGCACCTCCTGTATTGCAATCAACCCTGAGCCCGGATTTGGAACATGGATCAAGCTGATTTCTTGATACTTCAATGACACGTTCAACAAGTAAAGTTTCTTACTCAAAACTAGCTCAGTGGTATCAATAATCTTTAAAATGGTATCCTCTACATCCTTTCTATCCAGGATGGAAATCTCAATCAATTTTGCATTCAAAAACTGTAGTAAATAAAGAATCAATTTTCTGAAATCTGTCTCTTGGTCATTTATATTTGTCTCTATGTCGGATAAGAACTGGTGAAGCTCTTTTAAACTCAATTTAAGTGCCGGAGTCATATCATCGCTGATTTAACAACCAGTTGACTAAGGATCTTTCTGATGTGTTGTGTGTAAAGGGAAAAGTGGTTGACCCTTTTGACGCGTTTTTTTTATGCATTGAAGCGCAGAGAGTCAATAGTTTTGAAAGCATCGCTCATCCCTTACAATAACCATTATAAGCATTTGTCGCATTAAAATCTATTAAACTAAAGCAATAGGTATAAACTATGGATGTTGCCAACTCCTCTGGCTGTTTGAACCGACCCATTTCTCTTAACCTCAGCTAGAGACCGGTAGAAAACTCACCATGTTCATATAACGATAACGACTCTCAAGTGTAACGTATTGTATCAAAATCTCGACCACACTCATTGCCCGTAGTTGATTGACCTCTTGAACAACAATATATGTGGCTCAGGCGCATGTGTTTCGTAATGCACCCATCCTAAACTTTGCGTAATTCCCAATCCTCTCCACTCCTCTTCAAGCAATATCCTCAATGTTCCCGTTTCTGGGTTGAAATAGTCCTGAGGTATCACTTTGAGCATATTCTTGGGCAACATCACATGCCTATATTCGTGTGTATCATCGCTGTATCTAGGACTGTAGTGGATCATATCCTGGAATTCGAGCACCTTGGCTCTCTCTGAGTCGGTCAAGTACCTTGGTTTTGCTGACATTTATATATATATATATATAAATTGGAATTAAAAAAGGTCTCTCAATGACTTTTGTGTGTGCAATGTGTTTAATAAACGAGTCGTCGTCTAGGTGTTTCTAACGCTGTAGGCAACGGAGTTCAAAGAATGTCTCAATAAGGGGGGATATCAAAAAAAGTGGTGAAAAAAAAAGTTTCCGTTTCGTTTATCTAGGAGCACTCGGTGGTGTTTAATGGTTACAATATCGTAGACGAAACTGTGAATTAATGGTAGTTTTGGTCTGACTTTTCTTTGTTCCAATTCTTTTCTTTTTCTTTTTCATTTCTTTTCTATTTTTTTTTCTTCTTTTTTTCACGGACGAGGAATCTTTACGCGTCTAATTTATGCACTAAATTAAACACAAGCTAGCGGGGTGCGTTATGATAATTTTTTTACAATACTTGTAAAGTATAGTTCATACGATGGGGGTTTAATCTATCTTGTAGGCGATCTATCTCTGGTCCTTTGTGAGTTGTCTGAGTTGCTGTGTTTATATGAGTGTGTGTCGTCCTCCGATCTCCGCGATTTGTGATCATCTCTTGATCTATGTAGCCTGTGCTCATTGTTTGATCTATGCAGCCTGTGGCCATCACTCAGCCTATACCGGCCGTTTCCGTCTCGTGAGCTGTGGTGTCTATGACGGCCACTTGAAGAACTTGGTCTGTGGGAAGAACGATATTTTGACTTGTCATAATCTTGATCTCCGCTATCTAATGACTTTGAAGCATCATTGAAAGACCTGCCTGCTTGTCTATTCAGCTTACTCTTATGGTTCTGACTGCGATGCTGTATTTGTTGCTTCTGAATAAGTGCCAACGGATCATCGCCATAACTGTTTGCACTAGGCTTCTTCAGACCCAAGCCAATCACTTTGTTCATTCTATCATTTGAAAAGCCTTTGGAATCATGCTTTTTAAATGCACGATTGCCACTTAGCAAGTTTTCTGCTTCAGTCTTGCCCTCAGTAAACTCGGCCGTGGTTTCAATGAATCCACCTGAATTCAACATTTCAGTCTCTTGCTTCTCAAAGGGGACATCCTCATACATCCAATTCAACTTGGATACTCTCAACTTTTCATTGCTTGATAGCTGGTCCTTGCTGAAATTTTCACCATACTGTAGTTTCAAAAGGTCCAAGTATTCCTGTTCCTTCTTGAATTCAGCATTCTTTTCCTTTGATTCTTTGAGTTCCTTTAGTTTTTTCTGTTCAAGCTCCCATACCTTCTGTTGGTTTTTCACTAAGGCTGGGTTCCATGACTTTTTCAAATTCAAGTCTCCTGCCATGATATGAGTTTAAGCTTGGGGTTGTAGTTTTGAAGTCTGAGATGCAAAAAAAAAATTAGGTCACTAAGAAAATAAAAAAAAAATAACAAAGAAAAAAATAGATAGAGGCGAATTGTGGAAGCAAAGAAGATGATACTACAAAGCATAGCCAAAGCTGTTTGTTGGAAAGGGTTTATTTGTATTTTAAAATACGACTATATAAAAGTACGCAGTAGAACGATACTTTAGGTGATGGAAAGCAAAATCACCTCGCGAGGCAAAAAAGCAGTATAAGCAGCAGCAGCAGCAGCAGTCGCAACAACCTTCGCTTAGAAACCGTGAATCTTGATGTTCTTTTTAGGCAACTGTAATTGAGTTGTCAAAAATTCAGAAACTTTGGTTCTTTGGTCACCTTGTAATTGAATAACCTCTCCCAAATCATCATCCTTAACGATGTTTCCGTTACATGCAAAGTCCTTCTTCAAGACTTTTAAAATCTTTTTTAAATCATACTCATTTGGAAGACCTTGAACCGTGGTTAAAGTTTTTCTACCGTTACGCTGTTGGATACGGATATGAATGTAATTTGTAGGTTGAGCTTCAGAATCACCAGTGTCGGCGAATGGATCAAATGCGTTTAAGTTTTGGATAGTTGACATAAAATTGTACGGAGAAGGAAATTAAAAGACTCTGTTTCTCTTGTGTGTGTACCTCTCTAGTATTAGTGAAGATTGTAAAGTAAGTAGATGAAAATCAGTGGTGATAGTTGTAGTTAAGATGAAACTCTTTCGTACTCTTTAACTTTTGGTTTCCTGATTGATCGTTTGAGATGTGGCTTTCTAAGAAGAGAAAGAAGATTACCAGTTTGTTTAATCTTTCTATCTTTTAATTTTTTTTATTTTTTTTTTCTTTAAACAACAACAACAACGACAGCCAAAAATAAAAAAAAATTTTTAGTCTCTCTCTTTCTGTGTCACACACATTTTAATGATCTACATCCTAACATCAATACTTATCGAATGAAAAGCAAACTATTTGGTTCATCGTCATTCTAAAATAAATCTTTGTGCAGAGATGCACTACTTTGTATCTTATACACGACCTTCTTTTTTTTATTTTCTATCCTTTTGTACACTACTCTCTTCCCCTTTTCTTTTCTCTTTATTAATTAATTAATCAATTACTACTAATAATTACTATTAATAATTACTATTGTACGTTGCCCCATTAGTTTGAGTCGCCACACACAAACTTAAACATAATTTACATGTGAAAAACGTGCACCTTGACTTAACAGAGAGAGATTCTTTCACTGTAAAACTGATACCCCTTTGACTCTTCTTATCTACACTTCTTAGAGAGAAAGATATATATATATATATACTACTGCTTGAACCAAAGTTAATTCATCGAGGTTTGAATATGTCTTTTGGTGCAGTAGCTCTTTCTCTTTAGGAAGTATCCTCAATTTTCCATGCTTTCCCAACAAAATGCGTTATCTGTATCCCGCGCTATTGTGATGCAGTGAGAAAGAAAGAGAGGGGAGAGGGCTCTAACTTTATGTCCAAAGAGATTAAAAATACAATGAAAGATATTCAAACTTCACGTCCCCCCCCCCTCCACTACTGTTATAGAAGTACATGTCACCATTCCATATATCAATATAGGCTTGGCTCTAGCTCTTTCTCTTCTACTTTTCACTAGCATTTTTATGTCTTAAAAAGGATTATTTCCTGTTTGCGTAAGATTCCATTTCTTCTCTCTCATTGACTTAATAAATTTTATTAATTTTTCTTTTTTTTTTCCTTTCTTCTAATTTTCAAATTCAATTCTGTTTTGTTTAAAAAAGAAAAACTTATCCAAAAGTTTCTGTTACAACATTCATTGCTAGACAACATTCCTTCACTATTAGGAGGTACTGGTTATTCTTTTTTACTTGATAAACAAGCAGGGCATTTCGTCAATTGATTGATCAACGTGGTAAACCAAGTGGGCTTCAAAATAGTGCAATTGTTTTTTTTTGCTCTAATATCAAAAAGACTGGGGTTGGAGAATCAAATCATCTCGTGTCGTCAAAACAAAATACCATCTAATAAACAAAGCACACCTGCTCATCACTTTTGAAATAAGGGTGACTATAACTAGTAAAGCAATTTGTTCATCATAAAGCACAAACAATGAGCAAAAAGAACGACAAGACACGGGCTGATACCGATGTTGATGTCGACACCGCATCGATAAAAACCCCGGCAACATCTGCATCTATAACACCATCCATCTCGAAAACTGAAAATGAAGACAGCAAAAACAAATCATCAAAAAGAGAGCCGGTCGTAAATGAGAAGGAGAAGAAGAAGCAGGCATTTATAACAAGAACAATCTGGACATTTGTCATGATTGGCATCTTTTTTGTCATTATGGCTTCAGGTCACTTGCCTATAATAACTATGGTATTGTTGTTCCAACTCTTGACATTTAAAGAGATTATAGCATTAACTTCAGAGCCGGCAAGAGACAAAAAGATCCCATATAATAGATCTCTAAATTGGTACTTTCTAGCCGCCACTTGGTACTATTTGGATTTCCCGTCGTTTGTTGAATTCTTTCAAGAGCAAATCTTTTCAAACAAGTTTCTTACCTTGCTCACTTTGAATCACAAAATAATCAGCTACTCGTTATACATTGCTGGATTCATATTCTTTGTTTGGACTTTGAAGAAGGGTTATTACAAGTTCCAATTTGCTCAATTATGCGTGACCCATATGACTTTGTTGTTGGTTGTTTTCCAGGCCCATCTCATCATCGGTAATATACTACATGGTATATTTTGGTTCTTCTTGCCGTCAGCTTTAGTCATTGTCAATGATATCTTTGCTTACGTTTGTGGAATCACATTTGGTAGAACTCAACTTATTGAGATATCACCAAAAAAGACAGTTGAAGGGTTTGTTGGGGCTTGGATATGCACCTCCATTGCCGCAGTTATTGGCTCGTTTATCTTATCCAAATCAGATTACTTGATTTGTCCAGCACAAAACTTGTCCACGCATTTGTACAACTATCCAACTTGTGAGCCAAATCCTGTGTTCATTCCACAAGTGTATCAATTGCCACAAAACATTGTCGATCTCCTTGGCGGCAATATCGAACTCATCACTTTTAAGCCGGTCTATTTCCATGCCGCAGTGCTTGCCACGTTTGCATCATTAATTGCACCATTCGGTGGATTCTTTGCTAGTGGTTTGAAGAGGGCGTTTGGCATCAAAGATTTTGGTGATACCATCCCAGGTCATGGTGGTGCTACCGACAGATTTGACTGTCAATTTTTAATGGGCTCATTCACATACTTGTACTATCAAACATTTGTCAATAATCACAACATGAATTTGGGCAAGGTGTTGCAAATGGCAATAATCAACTTGAGTGCACCGCAACTAGTTCAATTGGTAAAGAGTATTTTGAGGTACTTGAATAGAGAAGGTGTCATTGACGACGAGAGGTTGCAATCAATTGTCGAATTGTTGACAAAGTAATGCTTTGTGTATAATTTATATCGTATTTAGCTACAATGCGACTGTCATTTGTGATAATGTACGTAGCGGTGGGGAGGAAAGGGGAGGCAGTGTGCTGGGTCAATAAATTTCAAATCAAATCAGAACCATGTCACAGCTGGGAATGTGATTACAAGAACCACGTAGCGCGAAATATATATCCCAGCAGTAATAAGCCATGAAGCAAAGTGCCAACGAGCAATCGTATAATGTTGTCGAAGATGTAGCGATCCAGCTTGACAAGGCTTTGATTTAACTTGGTAGCGATTTTGTTTTGCTAATGCCGCACATTTCCTTTTTAGGTTTTCGCATCCAGCAGAAATCGGTAAAAGAAAAATCTGAAGGTTCCATGTGGCTGGATGAATTATAATCACAAAACGTCAACGTCAAACCTCAACACTTCCAACCTTTGCTTACAATTCGTTTAGAGAACATGTGATCTGCTATGGAATATTGATAGTCATTTCGGAAGAGTACATTCGCGTAATTTACAATTGACGTGGTGCTGGTTTACTCAACAGTACAGATTTTGAAATTGACCGAACGATGTTTATCTCAAGAACAGGGTAAATTTAGTAGCCAAATTCTGGTAAAACCAATGTATTCAAATTGAAAGGTGAACTAGATCAACCGTTGGTTTGTGAATAGATCAATGATTGAATCAAAACCTGAATCAAAACCTGAATCATAACCTGAATCATAACCTGAATCAAAAAACGTTTCAAAACAATGGATCAAATCAAAGCTGGCTCTAACTGCCATAATCTACTCCACTTTACCCTCTTTGTGCTGCAGCAACAGCAACGACAACAATTTCCCTTGAAAACCGATTCTGCTTGCTGCAAAGAACAAAAAATAAAATTCGAAATCGACTTTCCTAATTGGGACTTTTGCTGCGCATAAAATCAATGAAAATGGTACAAAAATGAATGTTGGTTGCGAAAGACAAAAATTGTTCAATCGATACTTGTTCTGTTGAGGGTCTGATCCAGCCAGCATCTTCAATCAAATGGTCCACGATCAAGGGAATATAAAAGGGTTGGTAATTGCTCTAAAGTTTTAGTCTTGGGTTTCCTTTAATTTTGATCTCTATAACCTTTTACATTCGTTTCGTTTTACACCAACTACTACTATCGTTCTTTTACCAACCGACCTTCAGTCATTCACTAAATTCAGTTAACACACTTTTTTAAGGATCAACTCATCGCTACACTCACTTGGATTTAAATCACCCTTAACATTCGCTATAATTCAAAAAAGATGCTTGCCATACTATTTACATTCTTTTTATTCAGCCTTATATCAGCTGCACCCATACCGGCTATTATAACCAGGTACCATACAGCTGCCCCAGTCACCCAAGTCGTGACACAAACAACAGGCACAACCACAGTGTGGTTGCCACCCGTTGGAATTTACATTTTGCCTGATGGAAGTTCATCAACTAGCACCATTTGGAGTGGGCAATGGAATACTTATGGAGCTACATTTACGTCATCAGTGACTTCAGATAATACTGAGACTCAAGCAGCTGCCCAACAAACAACTACCAACGCTGAAACTACCACTACTAGTTCTCCTAATGCTGCAACAACTGCTAATGCTCAGACTGCCGCTGAGACTACACCAGCTGCTACTACCGCACAAACTTCAACGACTCAACAAAACACTGAACAAACGACTGAGCCACAAACCACTCAGCAAACCACTCAGCAAACTACTCAGCAAACAACAGAACAGCAAACAACAGAACAGCAAACAACAGAACAGCAAACAACAGAACAGCAAACAACAGAACAGCAAACAACAGAACAGCAAACTCAACAAACTTCAACAACATCCTCATCGAGCTCGTCTCTGTCATCTTCAAGTTCATCATCGTCAGAAACTAGTGGTGGATTAAACGACGGCATGACTGAAAATTACTCTGCTCCATCAACAATTGTCTACTCACCATATACAAACGACGGAAGTTGTAAATCTTCCGACGAGATCAATTCCGATTTGCAATTAATCTACAGCAAGGGCATTAAACAAATCAGATCTTACGGAACCGATTGTGGATCATTAAGTACCGTTTTACAAAAATGTAAGGACTTGGGCATGACGGTGAACCAAGGAGTTTGGGTTTCGCAAGATGGTGTTGATTCAGCTGACGATCAAATTGACCAAGTCATTGAATACGGACAACTGAATGGTTGGGATATTTTCAACTTGATTACTTTTGGTAACGAAGCCATTAATTCCAAATACGTTGATGTTGACTCCATGATGACAAAATTGGACTCAGTTAGAACCAAGTTCAGAAATGCGGGATATAATGGATACGTTACCACAGCTGAGCCACCAGCTACATTTATCAGTTACCCTAAATTATGTACTGACACCGATATGGATATCGTTGCCATTAACCCTCATTCATACTTCAATGCTAATATCAGTCCATCAAAAGCCGGTGATTATGTAACGAGTCAACAATCACAAGTGGCTAATTTGTGCCTGGGCAAACTGGTTTGGATTACGGAAACGGGATATCCTTCAAAAGGATCAACTTTGGGATTGAATGTGCCATCACCGGAAAACCAAGCAACTGCAATAAAGTCAATATTGGACTCAACTGGAGGAGATGTTACTATCTTGACGACTTATAATGATTTCTGGAAAGATCCAGGTGAATATGGAATTGAACAATATTTCGGTGCTATCAATTTGTTCAGTTAAATAAGGGAGAGAAATATAGGCCCATTCTGCCCCTTTACATTTCGTGTGTTTACTTTTCTTTTTTTTCACTTCGTGTTGATTGAACCGTTTCAATCCAAACAACTTGTATATTTTTAAAAAATAAATAAATCTAGCGTCTTATACACTCATCTACTCCAACTTTAAAAATCAATTACTTTTTCAGGGAAAAACTCGTCAATCAAGTTGAGGTAGTATGGCTTCAACTCGTCGATATCATACTCTTGATCAATTTTCGAATACAAATCATACTGATTAAACGCCTTGACGGCTCGTAACATTTCCTTATCGTGATCATTCATAAGATACGTATACGCCAACTCTTGATGCCAGGGGTAAAAAGAATGGTATCGAATCATGGCTAATCCTTCTTTCGGCAATGTCGAGTGCTTTTTGGCGATATGAAACATATATTCGTCATGGCCCCAACTCAACATCACTTTATCCAATCCACAGTGTTTTGAATATATGCCGTACTTTGTATTGTACAACGGATTGAGGAAATCAGGGTTGGCTTTAAAACTATCGGGGAAAATGATACGTTTGGAAAATTTGCACCCCACGGGGAAAGTATCACCAACAACATCCCACTGTCCCCTGGAGTCATAGAAATAGAGCAATTTGCCCAAATCATGAATCAATCCAACTAGTTGGAACCAGCGTGGTTTCCCATCACGCCGGATAGCTTCTGCTGTTTGAATAGCATGCAGGATCTGCGAAAGCTCAGTGTCAGGGTCACTTTCATCTAATAGCTTGTTTAGTTTCTCCAAAGCTTGCCAAACCGTCATGGTGTCTCGTGTCTTTGTCTTGAAATTTATCCTCGCTTGAATATTATATGCCACAGTTTGTTTCGCATGTTGTTCTTCGTAGAATGATTTGACACGGTCACATGCTAGTTCGTATTGACGGAATGCTTTGGTGTCGATGTTTTTATAGTATTCAGTGGCAATATGCCAGTTTTCATCGGCTAATTGATCGGACTTCTCTTGTAGTGATATTTCTTCTTCTATTGAAGGTACGATCGTTTCTTTTATTGGCAGTGATGTTTCTAAAGAGGTGTGGTTGGAAGCTGCTGCTGCTGCTTCTGTGGCTTGTGTTTTCATATTGTTTCGTAGAACATTAACATTGAGCACCTCATCGTCTATATGTTCCAAGAGCTGACCCTGTCGTTTTTCAGATATGGGCTTTGCATGCTGCTGTGTTGATGTTGCTGAGTTACTATTTTTGGATATTCGTGACATGATGTATACTGAGACCAAGCCTGTGATGATAAAGAGGCGAGGGAAGGAGAAGGAGAGATTCCCGATTTGTCATATGTTCTCTCTTCTCTTTTTTCTTAGAGTTTAGAACTATAAAGAGTACTGTTGCAAGAAAAAAAATGCAAAGGCACACTTTACCATACTAGACGTTACTGAAACCGAAAACTTTTACTTTTTGTTATTAATACATAAACACGTATATAAATGTTTAGCCCTTACGCTATTGTGCAATCTATGCTACACTTACAATAAGGCAGCAATGAAAACAAGTGGTACAGTAAGCCACATAGCATTGTTTGAAGCAGCAGCACCTTCGTAAGTAGAGACTTGTGGAGCAACTGACGATGGAGCTTGTTGAGGAGTAATAGTAGAAGTCAATTCAATGGTGAGGGTTTGAATTTGAACTTCGCTACCAGTACCAACAGTAGTGAGGACTTTTGAAGCAGAAGTTTGGACAGTTGGGGCAACAACAGCTGGGGTAGTTTTAGCTGGAGCAGATGAGGATTCAACTGGTGCAACTGGTGCTGGTGCTTTTGAGGATTCAACTGGTGCAACTGGTGCTGGTGCTTTTGAGGATTCAACTGGGGCAGCTGAAGTTGGAGCTGATGAAGCTGGGGCTGGTTTGCCGGTAGTAGTTGGCAATGGGCAGTAAGTGGTGTAGACAGTGTCAATTTCACTAATGGTCAAAACACCAGTAGTAACTGGAACTTCACTACATTTGTTTTCTTCACAAGAAGTGATAGTGACAATGGTGGTCTTGATGTCAGTGACAGTAGAAGCAATTGGGTCGGCAGTAGTAGTAGTGTTTTTGTATCCGGAAGATTGTGAAACAACACTAGTTGGGTCAACAGTGTTTTTAGTTGAACCGGCACCAGTAGTAGTAGATGAGACGGTACTTGATGATGAGGATGATGATGGAGCTGGGCAGGTGTTGTCATTCAACACTTTTTTAACCTGAGCAGCAAAGTTAGCGCCAGAAGCATCGGTGTTGATCCAAGCACCAGAAGCATCCCAAAGAGAAACACCAGCAAAGTGTTTATCACATTTGATTTGAGCAATAGTTTTGGCCAAAGTAGCAGCATCAACATAACCAGCAATGTTTCCAGTAGCTGGGACACCAACGTACAATTTCAAATCTGGGTTTGGTGACGATGAAGCAAATTCAGCCCAAGTGTCGTAGTTAAATTGACCATCAACTGAACATGGGTTGTTGTAGAATTGAACAAAAGCGAAATCCAATGGAACTTGTTGCAACAAAGAACCGACATGGGCATCAGGGTAGACACATTGTGGGGAAGCAGACAAGTAGTATTTTTTAGAAGAATCAAATTTTGATTTCAAAGCAGTGGCTAATTCTGGGTATCCAGTAGCTGAGCCTAATTCAATGTCAAAGTCAAAACCATCAACAACGGCATCGTCAAATGGTCTTTCTTCATCTTGACCATTACCGAATTTGTTCCACAAGGTATCAGCATAAGCAGTAGCATCATTAACACTGTTGAAGCCATAGGTTCCAGCAGCACCACCAAGCGACAACAAGACTTTTTTACCTGAAGCTTGACAAGTCTTGATATCTTCACCAATGGCAGAACAGTGCAACAAACCCGATGGGTAAGTAGCGCCACATTGGTTAGCAAAGTTGACATTGGTTGGATCAGGGAAGTCGTTTAAAAATGACAAGATAACAACGTCAATGTTGGAATCAGCACAGTAGGTGCTCAATCTGTCTTGACCACCGGCACCGTTTTGACCCCAGTAGACGGCAACACTGTTGGTAGCAGCTAAAGCAGAAGCAGAAGTGGCTAATAAAGCTAATAATGTATTGGACAACATTTTGTAATCAAGGAAATCAAACTAAAGTTTATGAGTGAATGAGTGAATGAGTGTAATTGTAATGAGAAAAAGGAACGACTATGGGTTAGATAGGAGTATCCAATTGGTGGTGGTGATAATAATAATAATAAAACGAAAGACTGGAGTTGGGTTGGTGTGTAGTTAGAAAAAAGGAATGGATATTCTTTTTGATTGTTTTCTAATTTGATTGGATTCTTTTAAAAGAGTTATGACACATAGAGATCTGATGAAGAGTGGGATTTTGTTTATATTTATAGTTAGAGCTATTGATTAAATAAATAATAAATTTTACACGATAGAATAGAAATAAATTATTTTTTGGGGGTGGAAAAAAAGTAAAGTCGGGTGTTGTTAAGCGGCATCAAAAAAAGAGCGAAACAGAAAAACAAAAGCAAGTCGTCTAATAAAATATTTTAGTGTGTTTTCTTTTGTATAAGATCATTTTACACAAACCACAAGTGTAGTGTATTTGTTTATTGCTCCAGTGGTTAAAGTATTCTTGGCAAAAGGGTATTTGTATGACACCTCAATCTAAATCTCATACTTCTTCATTGTTCAAGCAGAAGGTCAACAACAACAGCAACAACAACAATAAATAAATAAATCAATGACACTTCTTCTTTTTTCGTATAAGTGACAAAAAGCCACCATTTTTTGTCTTTGAATATTTTTTCCATTGTTCTTCTGTTGTAAATTACGATTTTAGTTGTCGTTCAAAAAAATTGGGGAACACGGGTCCTGTCCAAACCAATCAATTGTATTACCACATTATATTATGCATTTTTGTTGAGTCCGGTTAGCTAACTGTCTTACTTATAGCTCCTTACGTACGATGTTTATATAATACACTTCTCTTAATACTAGCAGTAGAGCGACAGTCAATTGTTTGTCGTTCTACTGCTGCTTCTGTTATTATTGTTCTTCTTTTGTTTGTCGGTTATTGTTGACAAAAGTCTAAAAAACAAAATTTTTCGAGAAATAGAGTTTGTAAAACAATTACTCTATTGTTTACCTTTCAAATGGATTTGTGTATTAATTTAAGTATGTGTTTATGGATCAAAAATGAAACCAAGAAAGAATAAAAGCGCGTCTTTGTTTTGTTTTTTTCATTTTAATCATTTCAATTTTTGGTCTGTTTAAAACAAAGCACTGTATAGACTAATAATAGTCAACTGTGCATATGTTTTTGGGCATTATAGTGTTTAGTATTATGGTGTGGTGAGGTGTGACAGCTGTTCGATTGGTGGAAATAAAATTAAAATAGTAGCACTTTGTGTAAATAGAGCCCAAATCTCTTACAGGTAGAAAAAGAGGCGTAAGGACAACTACTAATAGTACATAGGGGAGGCTTTTCTCCATCAGCACTCTGTATCCTTAACGGCTTTTGAAGGAGAGGTTAAAGTGTTTGTTTCGTAATATGTAGCTTTTATATAAAACCACACAAAAGAACGAAGGTCTAAGAAGAAGATTGTTCCCATCGTTAAAAAAAGCAAATAAAGAATAAAACCAAACCAATTTACGTAATAACTGTAACCAATGAGGAAAGAAATGAACCAAATTAAGAATGAATTGGTAGATATTGCATCTCTGTTAGCTATTACACTTGACACTTCTTACACGACCTAATTTATTTTAGTAAACAAGCACATTCAACAACTGACATATACGCATTTCTTTCATGATGCACTTTTGAGACATACAGAGAGCAAGCTCTACAAAGCCATCTTCACTCAGCCAGATATAACATACTCTACGGATTACTACTTTTGAGACATCCTCTCCCTTCCTATGTAGTCATTATGACATTCCAATTGCACTTTGTATTTTGATGAAATGATTTTTTTTTTTAATTAGTGAAGAATCTGCACACGATCAATAATTAAAGTTTTGAAAACAATAAAAACAAAAGCGCGCATTTATAGAAATAAAAATTTTCTCCTATGAAGAAAACTTTAACCCAACTTGCATTGGTGAGTTTCATTCTCAGTCAGTTCCATTGAATGTAACCATGTAACCTTAACCTTGATCATTGTGAAGAGGTCTAGACTTTTGTATGGCAATTCCTCTTTCACTTCACTTCACTTCACTTCACTTCACTTCACTTCACTTCACTTCACAATAGAAGGTGACACTCTATCACAATCTCGTAAAAGAGCTAAGCCTTTTAATTTATAGATAATCAGTGAAAATTGAATTGTTTCATTTTATTTTAAGAACTGGGGGTGAGGAGGCTTAAGGTTTGACATTTTGTTTTATTTTTGTTCTTTTGCCGAGCTTAATATGACAGAAGCGGAGCTTAAGAATTTATTTTAACCCCTAAACTTTAAAATGTACTCCCGAGCAATTCTTTGATTCTCATGATTCACACACCTCCTGACTCATTAATGTTCTGGCGTCTATAGCTCCTCATTGGTCTCTTATTTTGAAAAAAAAAACTTGAGAGGCCAAAGTTAGAGTAATTAAAAGTCTACTTTGGTCAATTTTCTTTTTCCATTTTCTTGTATTACTACACTCAATTAATTTCTTACATGGTTTCCCATTAAAAGGGGGGAATTTTTCACCTACCTTACAATAAAAAGGTAAAGCCGCGATGTATCGGTACATGCAAAACATACGCCCCTATTAAAACAAGAAGCCAAAGCACAACATTGGAATAGTCAAAAGGGATTTTTCCATGTTGAACGATTTAACACCATCGCCTTCAAAAATAGACACTGTGGTAGATTGAGCTGCAGCAGTTTTATGAGCTGAAGAAGTACTCTCACTAGACCCTTCTCTTTGGACTTGGAAAGTTGTCGAAGTTGGTGCTGGAGCCCCTTCACTAACTTTAGTAACAGTAGCTTGTCCTCCAGTGTTAGTCTTTTTTGTCTCAGTAGCAGCAGCAATTGTAGTGGAAGAAATCTTTGTTTCTTTTGGAGTTCCATTGACATTTGCAGCAGCCGTGGTCTTTGCAGCAGCACCACTTTCCTTTGCACTTTGATGTCTTCCTTCATTTCCACTTGAAGTCTGGTGGGCCTTTGTTGTGCTAACACCGGCTGCATTTGAGCCGCCAGTGCCAGTAGTTGTAGTTGCAGTTGTAGGTAATGAACAATAAGTAGTGTAAACAGTATCGTTCTCTGTAATGGTTACAACTCCAGTAGTAACCGCTGCTGGAGTACACTTGTCGTTAACACATGATGTGATGGTGACAATGGTGGTACCTACTTCCGTTCTGGTTCCAACTGTACCTTCAACACTGTTTTTGTTATTGGCACTGTCAGTTGTAGCTTCGGTTGATAATGGGCAATAAGTGGTGTAGGTGGTGTATTCTTCGGTAATAACGGTGACCCCTGTAGTAATTGGTACTTGCGTGCAGACATCTTCATGGCAAGAAGTAATTATAATAACAGTTTTACTCTCAATAGTCGAAGTTGAAGTTAAACCAGTGGTAGGAGGTTTTGTAGAAATACTTTGCTCCTCAGAAGGAGATAATGAACTTGAAGATGTATCAGTCGAAGAAGGCTGGGTAGTCGATGATGATGCAGTAGTCGATGATGATGCAGTAGTTAATGATGATGCAGTAGTTGATGATGATGCAGTAGTCGATGATGCCTCAGATGATGATGAGGATGAAGCAGTTGATGATTGTTCAGTTGATGATGACGATGGTACAGCAGACGATGAAGACTCAGTAGATGATGATGGTTGAATTGATGGCACTGGTTCAGTAGATGACGATGGTTCAGTAGATGACGATGGTTCAGTAGATGACACTGGTTCAGTAGATGACGATGGTTCAATTGAAGATTCAGTTGAGGAAGAAGCTGCTGTACTAGAAGACGAAGGCTGGGAGCATGTGTTTTCATCGAGTACCCGCTTCACATTATCAATGTATCTGCTATTCGATGTTTCTCTCAAAAATGCACCTGAGGCATCCCATAAAGCAACACCGGCAAAATGAGAATCACAATTAACTCTTTGAATAATTGGTGGCAAGTCACGAGATCTTATATAGCTTGGACTTAATTCAAAAGCATTAAGACCAATGTACAACTTCATATTTGGGTTAGGTGCGGAGTTAGCAAATTGAGACCATGTATCGTAATTGATATTGCTTGGTGAACATTGGCCATCATAGTATTGAATAAAGGTATAATCCAAAGGAACTTGTGACAACAACAGGCCAAGTTGTGGGTTGGGATAATTGCATGTTGGTGAGGCTGACAAGTAGTACTTTTTTGAAGAATCAAACTTTGATCTCAAAGCTTGTGCTAATTCAGCATATCCTGTATCACCACCTGAAGCGACATGGAAATCAAATCCATCAATAACTGCATCGCCAAATGGTTTTTCATCACTTTTGCCAGCACCGAATTTATTCCACAAAGTATCAGCAAAGTTAATAGCATCTTGGGTATTTGCAAACTGGCTGTCGGAACCTGGAGCACCAATTGATAAAAGAACCTTTTTTCCTAAGGCTTGACAACTTTTAATATCTTCAGCAAAATTGGGACAAGCCATGTAGCCTGTAGTGCCGTTGCGGAAACAGTTATCATTAAAGTCTCCAAATCCAGTTGTAAAGTCGGTAATTGATGAAAGAATGACAATTTCCACGTCTGGGTCTTGACAGTAGGAGTTTAAGGTAAGTTGCCCAGAAGCAACATTTTGTCCCCAATAAAGAGCGATACTGTTTGTAGCTGCTAATGAAGCAGTTGATGAAATCAAAACGAAAGCAAACAAGTGCAACAACAACATTCTATGTAAACCAGGCACTGGAGGTTATTAAGTTGAAATGGAGGAGAAGTTGCAAAGAGTGACTATGTTTGGTTGCAAAAAAAAAACCTAGCACTTGCAGAGAAACCTTGGATGGGGAGTTAGCCTTATTTATATTCATGGCGCTGCAAAGAAGTCCGTAGCTTTCTTTTTCAGTTGCCGTTGAACAGTGCTCCATTTCACAAGCAACGAAGCTGGCACTTACAATCTCGAATGATGACAGACAATAGAAAATGGTAGCAACATGAAATTAAGTGATTTTGCAGACATAACAAATTGAACAATAGGGCTTTTCAGACTACAATTTTGACATTTAGTAAATTGTGACACTAATGCCTTGTCTTGTCTTGTCTTCTCTTGCATTGCCTTTATTTGTTTTTACGAATGCCTCAGCTACAAATTAGCTTATTGTACAGGGAAATAAGTGCCAAGATTGTTGAGTGCAGTAGTTTTAGTAACGCGTGCAATGGTTCTCATCTTCTGATTGGTTCTATTCTATGGTTAGATTCAATTGCTACGGTATTCAATCAATCTTAGGTTACAAAGATCTACTGGAGGCGAATACGATATGAAACGTGACAACGATACATTAGGGTTTGTAATCAAGAAACGTCTTCAAAAGGGGTGGTGATTGTAGTTGAAGGGTCTTTTCGTCCCTGTTAAAGTTTCATTCGTCGAGGTGAAACAGTGTGAAAGAAGAAAATCAATAGCAGGGTTCAAATTGGAAAAGCGTTCGGAAGAGCATAATTCCCTTCTTTGTAACATACGCGGAATGCCAAGATCCCTTTTCTGTCACCTGTCTGTCAAAGAACATTAAAATGCGCAAGTGCGCTTTTCTATTAATAGATCGCTGCGCCCTTGATTCAGCTGGTGATTGGCTGTAATTGAAAGTGCCCCTTTTTTCTCTCACAGCAGAAGCAAGAAGTATATGTGTGTTATGCGAAACTACGGAAGACCTTCGTTTAGTCAAAAGAGTTGAATCTTGATCTTGGCTGTTCCGTTGACTATTGCGCTTTTATATTGCGTAGACTAAACCTTCCACTCTTCTTCCACAGGGTTTAAGAAACTTTTCAAACTCGGAAAATTGTAGCGAGAGTCTAAAAGGTCAAAGTGCTACAAAAGTCAATTACGAGATAGCCGATTTTCGGGATTGACTTTGTTTTTCACCAATTCAACCAAATTTCAAATGGTAACAAAGTTGGAACAATAGCATTCAAATTCAAGGCGTTTTCTATAACTATAGAGACGAAAAGACTTTTTTGCACCCAGGGAGCCTGAAAGTAAATTCTTGGTTTTAGAAGAAGTCAGATTCATTGTGATAGCGAGATAGGGACATATGCAAGAGGGAAACAGCTGCGAGCTCCCCACAGCAATGAAATAGAAGCATTGCTTCCTCGGTGCTTTGCTTTTAAACTTGACAAGCCATCGCCTTTGAGTTTATCTTTGGCGCTTCATTTCATTGTTTGGTTCTATCAGGAATTTGAAGCTTAGTGATACACTCCATATGTGTACACACATAGTCTTGACCAAGCGAAGCTGCTTTCATTCACCTACAAGGACATTACGAAATAGCTAACAACTTGAGTTCAGTTGAAGAGCGAACCCATTTCGAAATTTTATTGTTTTTTTGCTCGTAATTTAAAATTGTGGCTCAAAAATTGATCTTCATGATACGGCTCAAAAAGATCAACCAAAAAATGTGAAAAAGTTGCCTATCCAAAGTCAAGCCATTACTTCTTAACATCTTTTCATTTCTGCCGCACAGTAACAAAATGGACTACGTTACACACCTTTCAAGAGAGGACCCTTCAATCGCAACCACCTCAAAGTACAATTTAAAATACACCTACCCAGTCAAATACTACGATTTCCACATTTACTATTTCGCCCATCAGAAACATTCAGTGGAGGAATCAGACGCCTTGCGAGCTAAACTTCTTGCCGATTTCCCCGAAGATGCCGCTGATGGTTCCATTTTGGTCAAGAAATTACCCAATGATAAAGTAATTGGTCCGCATCCCGCTCAATTCTGGGAGGCGGATGTATTGAGGCCCGAGGTTTTTGTTAAGGTGTTGAGCTGGTTTCAATTGCATCATGGTAACTTGCTGGTATTGATTCATCCTCAAACTGGTGATGATTTGAAAGACCACACTCAACGTGCGTTGTGGCTAGGCGAAAAATTGCCACTTTTTAATGTCTTTGGGCCTAATGAAGGTGTCATACCTGAATTCGGGGTCAAAGGAGGGAAAGCCATCAAAGTGGATGATTTTGATGACCATAAAACTGTGTTGTGAATATAGGTGAGTGGAGGTATAGTGTTTAGAATAAACTGAAACGATGAGACTTATATACAACTTCCATGTGGATTAGTACGGCCATCGCCAAAGGTCATACTTTGTGCTTTATTTATTGTCTTTCATCGTAAAAGCAAGATCCTAGTTTATCATACTACGGACCACATTGTAGAAATGAGCTCCAGCCCTGTAAGCGCATACTCAATTAAGACGGAACAGAACGAAAAAAATGAAAATAGTAAAAACAAAAAAGAAAAAAGAGAAACTTTGCAACGCTTTCTTAGAGCATAAATCGCTATCACTTTAAAAAGTGAGACAATGGAAACAGCTTCAAGTAAAAGATGAAAATTTATAAATCTCATCGAGTCTCATCTTAATTCATTGCTAAACCCAAAAGAAAGAAGGAACTAATCAGTTGGATATACACACACACTATGGCACAACTATCATCACAAGGTAACAATGCCATTATCTACCTTACTTATATCTTCATGTTGGCCACAGGTCTATTCCTAGCCTGGAAATTTGCCTCAAAGAGTGATTTCCTTTCTTCGAATGGAACGCAAAGAGGTATCCCGTTGGCGTTGAACTTTATCGCTTCAGGTATGTGAAGAAAGCACTTATTAGAGAAAACGAGATGAAATTGGAGATTCTTAACAAATCATGGAGAAATTAGTTGGTCTAGTTATCATGTACTGTTGTGCAAATAGCTTTTACTTTTGAAGAAAGGGAAAAACTATGAGCGGGTATCTTTGGGATTCTACCTAAAGATTGAGAGCAAACCGTTCGAACTCGATCAAGTTCAGACTTGCGTGAGGATCTTAGTTTCTCCTTTCTTAATATATGAGGGGGTGGGTGTAAAAAAAGGTGGCATAATTCGCTTCTCGAGCCATGCCTGCTTGTCGCACCCACTCACTTTTACTCTCAAAGCGACAATACTAACTTTTACTTCTCATTTTAGCCATGGGTGTTGGTATCATTGCTACTTATGCCGAAATTGCAAACATTGCCGGGTTGCATGGATTACTCGTGTACACCCTTTGTGGGTCCATTCCTATTGTCGGATTTGCCGTATTTGGTCCTATTATCAGAAAAAAGTGCCCTGATGGATTCATTTTGACTGAATGGGTAAGGCATAGATTCGGAATAGTTACAGCGTTGTATTTGTCGTTTTTCACTTGTTTGACAATGTTTTTATTCATGATTGGTGAATTGTCGGCAATTAGAAGTGCTATTACAGCATTGACTGGGTTGAATGCGTTGGGTGCTGTCATTGTTGAATGTGCAGTAACGACAATCTATACATTTTTTGGTGGATTCAGAGTTAGTTTCATCACCGACAACTTCCAAGGTGCTTGTGTTTTAATTTTGGTGATCATTTGTGCTTGTGGAATGGGATCTTACATCGACATTGATACATCAAAAGTGGGTCCTTCGGGTTTATTAAAGGGCAATAAATTGGGTTGGCAATTGGTTTACATCTTGTTTGTGGCAATCGTGACTAATGACTGTTTTATGTCAGGATTTTGGTTGAGGACATTTGCCAGTAAGACAGATAAGGATTTATGGATTGGCTGCTCAATTGCTGCCGTTGTTACTTTTGTCATCACTTCATTGGTGGGAACCACTGGATTCTTGGCCGTTTGGTCGGGTGATTTACAGGTGGGAGATAGCGATGGATCCAATGCATTTTTCATTTTGTTGTCGCATATGCCTCGTTGGTTAGTTGCATTTGTGTTGATTTTCTGTATTATTTTGTCAACTTGTACTTTTGATTCATTACAGTCGGCGTTTGTTTCAACCATATCCAATGATGTGTTTAGAAACAAGCTTCACACCAATTGGTCGCGTCTTTTGGTGGTGATTATGATTTTCCCCATTGTTGTTTTGGCAGTTAAAGTGGCGGACAATATCTTGCAAATTTACTTGATTGCTGATTTGGTGAGTGCTGCTGTGATCCCCGCTGTGTTCCTCGGTTTAAGTAACACATACTTCTGGTGGATGAGAGGCTTTGATGTTATGTGTGGTGGATTGGGTGCATTGGTCGGGGTGTTTGTGTTTGGAACTGTTTATTACCATAGTGCAAAAGAAGGTGGAAAATTGTTGTTGATTTGGAATGGACTTTACGATCAAGACGATTGGGGTCCATTTGGTGCGTTTGTAATTGCGCCAGTAGGCGGAATCATTTTTTCATGGATTGCTGCCGCTTTGAGAATCGGAGCCGTGTATGTCTACTCAAAGATACGGGGTAATCCATTCACCGCCTTGGACAGACCAGATGAAGAACCAATTTACGTTGATAATCAAACCACCTACGGTAGTGATGCTGATGCTGAACAAACTAGTGTAGATAAGAAAAGTGTATAAATAAATAGACTTACGTAGCTTCAATTCGACTAAATAACCGGAACTCTTAGAGTGATGGAAAATTGCTTATCTTTGGTAATTCCGCATCCACGCACGTTTTTTCAATTTCCAATTAATCGCGAAGCGGACTTTAAAGGCAGTTTTCCTACCACTACAGTACACTACAGTACGCCCCAGCACACTCCTACAAATGCTTGCAGCAGATACCCCCTTTTCCAAAAGGCTAACACAGTGCACCTG